GAGGGAGGACCACCCCCTGGTGGGGTGTGAGGGAGGACCCCCTGGAGGGGTGGAGGGAGGACCCCCTGGTGGGGTGTGAGGGAGGACCCCCTGGTGGGGTGTGAGGGAGGACCCCCTGGTGGGGTGGAGGGAGGACCCCCTGGTGGGGTGTGAGGGAGGACCCCCTGGTGGGGTGTGAGGGAGGACCCCCTGGTGGGGTGTGAGGGAGGACCCCCCCTGGTGGGGTGTGAGGGAGGACCCCCTGGTGGGGTGTGAGGGAGGACCCCCTGGTGGGGTGTGAGGGAGGACCCCCCTGGTGGGGCGTGAGGGAGGACCCCCCCTGGTGGGGTGTGAGGGAGGACCCCCTGGAGGGGTGGAGGGAGGACCCCCTGGTGGGGTGTGAGGGAGGACCCCCTGGAGGGGTGGAGGGAGGACCCCCTGGTGGGGTGTGAGGGAGGACCCCCCCCTGGTGGGGTGTGAAGGAGGACCCCCTGGTGGGGTGTGAGGGAGGACCCCCTGGTGGGGTGTGAGGGAGGACCCCCTGGTGGGGTGTGAGGGAGGACCCCCTGGTGGGGTGGAGGGAGGACCCCCTGGTGGGGTGTGAAGGAGGACCCCCTGGTGGGGTGTGAGGGAGGACCCCCTGGTGGGGTGTGAGGGAGGACCCCCTGGTGGGGTGTGAGGGAGGACCCCCTGGTGGGGTGTGAGGGAGGACCCCCTGGTGGGGTGTGAGGGAGGACCCCCTGGTGGGGTGTGAGGGAGGACCCCCTGGTGGGGTGTGAGGGAGGACCCCCTGGTGGGGTGTGAGGGAGGACCCCCTGGTGGGGTGGAGGGAGGACCCCCTGGTGGGGTGTGAGGGAGGACCCCCTGGTGGGGTGTGAGGGAGGACCCCCTGGTGGGGTGTGAGGGAGGACCCCCTGGAGGGGTGGGAGGGAGGACCCCCTGGTGGGGTGTGAGGGAGGACCCCCTGGTGGGGGGTGAGGGAGGACCCCCTGGTGGGGTGTGAGGGAGGACCCCCTGGTGGGGTGTGAGGGAGGACCCCCTGGTGGGGTGTGAGGGAGGACCCCCTGGTGAGGGAGGGGTGTGAGGGAGGACCCCCCCTGGTGGGGTGTGAGGGAGGACCCCCTGGTGGGGTGTGAGGGAGGACCCCCTGGTGGGGTGTGAGGGAGGACCCCCTGGAGGGGCGTGAGGGAGGACCCCCCCCTGGTGGGGTGTGAGGGAGGACCCCCCCGGTGGGGGGTGAGGGAGGACCCCCTGGTGGGGCGTGAGGGAGGACCCCCTGGTGGGGAGTGAGGGAGGACCCCCTGGTGGGGTGTGAGGGAGGACCCCCTGGTGGGGTGTGAGGGAGGACCCCCTGGTGGGGTGTGAGGGAGGGCCCCCTGGTGGGGTGTGAGGGAGGGCCCCCTGGTGGGGTGTGAGGGAGGACCCCCTGGTGGGGTGTGAGGGAGGACCCCCTGGTGGGGAGTGAGGGAGGACCCCCTGGTGGGGAGTGAGGGAGGACCCCCCCTGGTGGGGTGTGAGGGAGGACCCCCTGGTGGGGTGTGAGGGAGGACCCCCTGGTGGGGTGTGAGGGAGGACCCCCTGGTGGGGAGTGAGGGAGGACCCCCTGGTGGGGTATGAGAGAGGACCCCCTGGTGGGGTATGAGAGAGGACCCCCTGGTGGGGTGTGAGGGAGGACCCCCTGGTGGGGTGTGAGGGAGGACCCCCTGGTGGGGCGTGAGGGAGGACCCCCTGGTGGGGCGTGAGGGAGGACCCCCCCTGGTTGGAGGAGAGGTCAAGAAATGGAAAGCACGTAGCAGTACTCAAGAATTTCGCCGGAAGATTAATGATTACGTCATCTGAAGTAACAAGAAAGCGGAAGTAAGGCGGTCACAGGTGGAAGGCACGGTTTCCCTACAGAGTACCGGGACTCGCCAATAGAAGGTCGCAAAATTGTCTCCTTTGGCCTAAAGTCGGCGGTACGAGGGTATACACAGTTGGTGTTTACGGCCTAGTAACCTGGTGACATCAAGAAACGCCTGAGATGACGTGAGCAATGATGGAAGACGAGATTCACCTGTTCTGCAAACAAGCAACCCGCCTCTACGACCTTCTGACACCACTCCTGCTAAGAGACACCGTTGGTACATCCAGTCCTGCTCTGCTGTGGTCATCTGCGCCGTCAAGTTTAACATCAAGACTGCCGTGTGAACTGTGATTGATATGAAGGCGTGTGGACTGTCGAGAGCAAGATTAATGGCCGAAGTAACAGTATTCTACAGCTGTCACTTGGCACTCAGCTCTACTACACTCTGTCGTCATTCAGTAGTACCGGATGGGAGTACAAGAGGACCAGGTATTGATGTCTACACATGAGAAGAAGCAAGATCGACACCGTCATCGTCAGCGACTACATTCAGCATCCAGCAGCATCGATTTTTTTTCTCGATTACTCAATATGAATAATTGATACAAACAACAAAGTTGGCTCTGAACATCTGTGTTAAGAACATCTGGACACTTTTGTTTAAATGTTGAAAAACAGATTTAGAATCAATACTTTATAAATGTTGAAAAACAGATTTAAAATAATAATTGGTATAATATGAATTTTACTCTATAAATTGGTCAGTAATCAAAATCGAAGCCCCTGTGTAATTGTCTCAGCCCAGAACAAACGGTTATGGAAAATTATGTTGTGCTATTTTTTTTTGCAGAATGTTTGAACACAGGAGAGGCGGACCAATATAAACATTGACACTTCTAGTGAGTGAGAACACTTGGCTGTACAGTCGGCTGAAACCTGTGATATAGTATAGGAATTTTTTTTTATATTTTTAGATACATGTAATAAACGTTAGGTGTGTTCCTTAACATGTCAAGGTTGACATTGATGGGGAGTGGGTAGTACACGGATGTGAACTTGATAGTTCCGTAGTACGCTCCCGGATGACTGAAAGTTCAGTCTGATGATATAACTTTAATGTTTGTTTGAGCACGGTGTGGCCGGCTCTAGAGGACACATGGACTTGGCTAGTGAAGAGCCAAGAGAGTTTAATAGCTAGTTTTTTATGGTAGAGTAGGGACATGTTATTTAGCTATGTCAGTAAGGATAGGATGTATGTTTCCTGATATTGGAGGATTGCTGTCAGTTGACAGCTGAGAAATTTATGAAATATGAACATGTTTATTATGATGTTGGACTATTATTTGTCAAATTTTATTAGTTAGGTTAGCTTTTGTTTGAGGCATGAGTTGAATTGTGGGTTTGGATACTAAACCTCGTGATTTTTTAACAAATTAACAAGGTTTACTTAGTGCTTGTGCGGGGGGGTTGTAACAAACTAGGCTGTTGTAAGAATTATCCAGAGTGGTTTATCGACAAAAGAGAATGGGAAGCTGAGCCGCATGGTGACCTGACCCCCAGGGGAATTCGCGGTGGAAATAACCGACGCTTTGTTCATAGCTGCGTATAATGAACCATCCTATAGTATTCAGTAATTTAGAGAAAATTAGCCTTTATTCATTTTGCATTAAAATTGTATTGTATAATAGTACTGGGTACAATATCAAGAGTATTCTAATTATTGAGTTTAAGTCACCATCAGTGACGTCACGAATCAGATCTAACTTGTAAAGCGGAGTGACCGGCGGTCATAGGTCATCAGGGGTTGACAGGTCTACTATTTCTCAAAGTTTTAATAACCATTTTTGTGATCGGGAACAGCTCTGCCGTTAGATGTTTGTAATTTAATTCAGTAAAATAATTCAACCAGTCTGGATCAATTAAGTACAACAGAGGTTAATTGTTATAACTTAAACCTGGCTAGTAACTTGGTAAAACTTTGACTAGGCGGAAGGATACAATGTTCTAGTCTGGGCTAGGCCAGACGAGGACAGATCAGTGTGGTCACGGAAGCAGCTGGGAGAGGTCAAACATCTTACCTCTCCCCGAGACCAGCCCAACATCTTAGCTGGAAAATATAGAGGTATAGTTGCTATGGTTATGTATAGAAATAGTCTCATTTGCCATTCAGGTCAAGTAGGGAGTGTTAAAGTGACAGGGAGTGAACCTATTTAGATTTTGTTTTAGTTTTCTTTTAATAAATTAAATTTGTTATTAATTTGCATTTATTGTTTCCATTTGGTTATGTGTATACTTGTCCTGGTCACGTGGTCCACACGAGGCAGAGTTGTATTGGGCGCCGATTCTAACATCGAATCGGAATTATCATTACCGTGTAATTTATTCCACACTCAAGGTCATCGTTTATAGTGAGGATCGAGCCCCTAGGTTGATTAATTAGCGTGATCGATCCAGACCTCGATCATTGCTCTGTGTTGCTGGTCTGGTGGTGGCAGCGTAGAGGCGACTCTAGGATTTTGCTCCGAGCCTAGGTCACGTCATACTGGGTGTAGAATCCTAAGTCGGTCAATCGTCTTAGGACCATGTGGCGTGGAGTTGGCTTTGGTAAAAGTTTTGGAGTCCCTTGGTAGAGAATAAAAAGTAAGAATACGGGTAGAGGGAGTAGAAGGAAGAGAAGTAGAGAGGGAACCCGAACCCGTGTTACAGTGTGAGGGAGGACCCCCCTGGTGGGGTGTGAGGGAGGACCCCCCTGGTGGGGTGTGAGGGAGGACCCCCCTGGTGGGGTGTGAGGGAGGACCCCCCCTGGTGGGGTGTGAGGGAGGACCCCCCCTGGTGGGGTGTGAGGGAGGACCCCCCTGGTGGGGTGTGAGGGAGGACCCCCTAGTGGGGCGTGAGGGAGGACCCCCTGGTGGGGCGTGAGGGAGGACCCTCCCCTGGTGGGGTGTGAAGGAGGACCCCCTGGTGGGGTGTGAGGGAGGACCCCCCTGGTGGGGTGTGAGGGAGGACCCTTGCCTATGAGTGACCACAGGTCTACCTTATTATGCCCCGCCTACAAGCCTTGTTCTGCCCGTTACCATATAATTTAACTATTATGACGTTTTAATTCTTTGTCGAATCTGGCTTTAAAATTGTAGATGGAGGTGGCTTCTGCAACTTCTGCCTTCAGTGTTGTACTCACCCATACAAAGTACCAGTATTTGCTGTATTTGTTGACTTATTTGCGTATTTTGTCTTATTTTCTCTCACTTCAAAAAGGCTGTCCTTGTTCATCTTATCACTTCTCCTCAGTATCTTGTATGTTGCGATCATGTCCCCTCTGATTCTTCTCTCCTCCAGTGATGTGAGGTGTAGGTTCATTAACCTAGCTTCGTAGCTCTGTCATTATCTTCTTGCAAATCTTAAACTTTTGTCAATTTTGCTTGTATGCTTTACAAGGTGATGATCTCAGGCCGGTGTTGCATATTCCAGTGTTGGTCTAACATAGGTTGTGTAGCCCCAGGATGTGTGGTGGAGTAAGGTGGAGTGTGGTGGAGTGTGGTGGAGTGTGGTGGAGGACACCCCACACCCCACACACCAACACACACACACCTGACACCACCCCAGCTGCTCCACCCAACCAACACACACACACACACCTGACACCACCCCAGCTGCTCCACCCAACCAACACACACACACACCTGACACCACCCCAGCTGCTCCACACACCAACACACACACACCTGACACTTGTCACATTAATATTGATTTGTTGATTTAGCGTTATTGGTAAGTAGTTTATGCAAATCATTACATTAATACAATACAATACAATACAATACAATTTTATTTAGGTAAGGTACATACATACAATAAATATTTACAAGGATTGTTTGACTTATAGGTATAGCAAGTACATACAATGCCTAAAGCCACTATTACGCAAAGCGTTTCGGGCATGATAAACTTAAATGACAAGCTTAATACTAATTGAGCATAATGAGTAGAATGAAAACAAGAAATGAAAACATAGATGAAAAAGCAGCACAAATACAATTATGTCGACAAACAGCGCTCTTTAAAGAAAAAAACAGACATTGGTTGACAATAGAAGGGTAAGGTAGGTTACAGGGAATTTATTAGGTATAGCTTCGCTTTTAACTTAAACTGGTTGAGAGAGGTACAGTCTTTAACATGGTTGGGAAGGTCATTCCACATTCTGGGCCCCTTGATTTGTAGAGCATTTCTAGTTTGATTAAGTCGTACTCTAGGAATATCAAAACTGTATTTATTTCTGGTGTGATGCTCATGGGTTCTGATACAACCTTCTATGAAGCTTTTGAGATCAGGATTGACATTATAGTTTAGCGTTTTATATATGTATAATACACATGAGAGAATGTGCAGTGACTTAATGTCTAACATATTCAGAGATTTGAGTAGGGGTACCGAGTGATGTCTGGGGCCAGAATTGGATATTGTCCTAATAGCATCATAGCACCTAATAGCACCTAATAATAATGTCTGTACTGAATAGGTCTACAGCTGGAAACTTACAGTTAACTTACACAGCTGAATACAGGTTGAATTGATAGTACTTTACATAACCTATGAAGTGTAAGAGGTGTAAACTATACAAGTATATGGTATTTACCAGGAGAAAGCACCAAGCCAGAACGACTATATAGCACTTGGAAGGAATATGAGACAGACTAAGAACATACAAATATAATTGTAAGATATATTGCTAAGAAAACGTTGCTAAAGATACAAATTTCAACTTATTCAACAATTTCAACTTAGATAATACCTATTAATTATATTATTTACATTCTGGTTGGTGCGTTGTTTTAAGGTCACATTAAAAATCTTGCTGACAATTTGGAGAGACGTATTTTGGCAAAGAAACAAAATACGTAAATTTATTGCATTCAATTGTAAATATGAGACACACGCTAAATATAATGTGGATTTGTACAAATTTGTCTGGGTACAAGTGACAGGATGAACAACCCAGCGGGTTTTCTTCCTTTTGGGGAGTGTTGTACATGCTGCTATGGCGGTGTGTCCACTCACAAGATGAGTGGCGCTGCCCAACCTTCGGGGCAAAATTTAAAATTGCACAGCCTCTGAAAGTTCAGTATTATTATTATTATTATTATTATTATTATTATTATTATTATTATTATTATTATTATTATTATTATTATTATTATTATTATTAATATTATTATTATATGTATACTTTGTAACTTTTATATTAACTTCGCATAACTTTGGGGTGTTTGTCAGGCGGGCGAAGATGACGTCATCACCATACATGAGTCCACTACCCAGCCCGAGGTCACCCAACAGTCCGGTCAGCCCTGGTCGCTGTGTCAAAGTCAAAAAGAACCCGGTAAGTGCCCCCCTAATCCCTTTATCTCACACACTTCATATTTAGGGTGTTGTCTTCACACTAGAGCGTTATTAAGGTGAGCGGGTGACACGCTGCCACATCTAGGCAGAGGTCCCGCCGTAGGTGCGTCTGGCAGCGTGTGCCACCTTCACCATCTGACGCTCAGGAAATGTGGCCGGTGTGACCCGGGTTGACACATTACCCACAATCACAGCCACGGGGTTTGAGGGAGGAAAGTATCTGGGAAAAGCGCCAAGCCATTACGATTATATAGCACTGGGAAGGGATCGGGATAAAGATTTGGGATGGGACGGGGGGAAGGAATGGTGCCCAACCACTTGGACGGTCGGGGATTGAACGCCGACCTGTATGAACTTCCCTATGAAGCGATACCGTCGCTCTACCGTTCAGCCCAGGTGGTTGGGCAATCAAGTTCAGTGCACACACAGCGTCTGGAAGCTCCTGTATGGCTCTTGCTGGTTCACCCAAGGTCACTTGAGGTCACCTGAGGTCACTGACTCCCTATAGTGCCCTCAACGGGGACAGGAAGCCGGTGGCAATACCGTACTTACATCAGTGCCCTTGTAACTTGATCACAACTTAGAGGCAGATTATAACTCTATCTAGGTCACCACAAATGTCAGTTATTTAGAACACTGGGGAGAGGTTACTGAACCCGCCGTGGCTGTGTGACCTTCCCGCCACCCACACACCTGGTAGTACCTGGTAGAGCTAGGACTTATCTCCCCCCAAAAAGAACTAGGAATCAAAAGGCTGGCATACCGAAAGGGGAATTATGAACAGATGAGAAGTTTCCTAAGTGAAATACCTTGGGACACAGACCTCAGAGACAAGTCTGTACAGGGTATGATGGACTATGTTACCCAAAAGTGTCAGGAGGCAGTAAACAGGTTCATCCCGGCCCAAAGGGAAAAATCCGAGAAGCAACAGAAGAATCCATGGTATAATAGGGCATGTATGGAAGCGAAGAAACTGAACAAAAAGGCGTGGAGGAACTTCCGGAATAACAGAACACCAGAAAGCAGAGAGAGATACCAGAGAACCAGGAATGAGTACGTCAGGGTGAGAAGAGAAGCAGAGAAAAATTTTGAAAATGATATAGCAAACAAAGCCAAGACCGAACCAAAGCTACTCCACAGTCACATCAGAAGGAAAACAACAGTGAAAGAACAGGTATTGAAACTTAGAACAGGCGAGGACAGGTATACAGAGAATGACAGAGAGGTGTGTGAGGAACTCAACAAGAGGTTCCAGGAGGTCTTCACAATAGAACAGGGTGAGGTCACTGTGCTAGGAGAAAGGGAGGTAAACCAGGCGGCCTTGGAGGAGTTCGAAATTACGAGAGAGGAGGTCAAGAGACACCTGCTGGATCTGGATGTTAGAAAGGCTGTTGGTCCAGATGGGATCTCACCATGGGTACTGAAAGAGTGTGCAGAGGCACTTTGCCTGCCACTCTCCATAGTGTATAGTAAGTCACTAGAGACGGGAGACCTACCAGAAATATGGAAGACGGCGAATGTGGTCCCAATATACAAAAAGGGCGACAGACAAGAGGCACTGAACTACAGGCCAGTGTCCTTGACTTGTATACCATGCAAGGTGATGGAGAAGATCGTGAGAAAAAACCTGGTAACACATCTGGAGAGAAGGGACTTCGTGACAAATCGCCAACATGGATTCAGGGAGGGTAAATCTTGCCTTACAGGCTTGATAGAATTCTACGATCAGGTGACACAGATTAAGCAAGAAAGAGAGGGCTGGGCGGACTGCATTTTCTTGGATTGTCGGAAAGCCTTTGACACAGTACCGCATAAGAGGCTGGTACATAAGCTGGAGAGACAGGCAGGTGTAGCTGGTAAGGTGCTCCAGTGGATAAGGGAGTATCTAAGCAATAGGAAGCAGAGAGTTACGGTGAGGGGTGAGACCTCCGATTGGCGTGAAGTCACCAGTGGAGTCCCACAGGGCTCTGTACTCGGTCCTATCTTGTTTCTGATATATGTAAATGATCTCCCGGAGGGTATCGATTCATTTCTCTCAATGTTTGCGGACGATGCTAAAATTATGAGAAGGATTAAAACAGAAGAGGACTGTTTGAGGCTTCAAGAAGACCTAGACAAGCTGAAGGAATGGTCGAACAAATGGTTGTTAGAGTTTAACCCAACCAAATGTAATGTAATGAAGATAGGTGTAGGGAGCAGGAGGCCAGATACAAGGTATCATCTGGGAGAGGAAATTCTTCAGGAGTCAGAGAAGGAAAAAGACTTGGGGGTTGATATCACGCCAGACCTGTCTCCTGCAGCACATATCAAGCGGATAACATCAGCGGCATATGCCAGGCTGGCCAACATACGAACGGCATTCAGAAACTTGTGTAAAGAATCATTCAGAACTTTGTATACCATATATGTCAGGCCAATCCTGGAGTATGCAGCCCCAGCATGGAGTCCATATCTAGTCAAGGATAAGACTAAACTGGAAAAGGTTCAAAGGTTTGCCACCAGACTAGTACCCGAGCTGAGAGGTATGAGCTACGAGGAGAGACTACGGGAATTAAACCTCACTTCGCTGGAAGACAGAAGAGTTAGGGGGGACATGATCACCACATTCAAGATTCTGAAGGGGATTGATAGGGTAGATAAAGACAGTCTATTTAACACAAGGGGCACACGTACTAGGGGACACAGGTGGAAACTGAGTGCCCAAATGAGCCACAGAGATATTAGAAAGAACTTTTTTAGTGTCAGAGTGGTTGACAAATGGAATGCATTAGGAAGTGATGTGGTGGAGGCTAACTCCATACACAGTTTCAAGTGTAGATATGACAGAGCCCGATAGGCTCAGGAATCTGTACACCTGTTGATTGACGGTTGAGAGGCGGGACCAAAGAGCCAGAGCTCAACCCCCGCAAACACAACTAGGTGAGTACAACTAGGTGAGTACACACCATGGGTTATCTTGAGATGATTTCGAGGCTTTAGTGTCCCCGCGGCCCGGTCCTCGACCAGGCCTCCACCCCCAGGAAACAGCCCGTGACAGCTGACTAACACCCAGGTACCTATTTACTGCTAGGTAACAGGGGCATAGGGTGAAAGAAACTCTGCCCATTGTTTCTCTCCGGCGCCCGGGATCGAACCCGGGACCACAGGATCACAAGCCCAGCGTGCTGTCAGCTCGACCGACCTGCTCCCGACCGACAATGATTATAAGGAAGACGGGACACCATGAGCGTAGCTCTCATCTGGGTATCTGGGTATGGCTAGCCTTAGTACCGAATTAAACTAACTGCTACTGAGTGTATTACAGTACACAGTAACAAGAGGATCCCGGTAAGTCTTGTCAGGGAACAGAAGTACCTGACAAGCATTTTGAGATTAAGATCATTAATCTTAAGATTAAGATGAGATTAAGACAAGCATACAAGATTAAGGCAGCGTCTGGGATGCTCTCGGACGTAGGTTCAAATCCTCGTCACGGCCCTTGTGGATTTGTTCCTTTACCTGTAAAGGTGTGTCAGGAAACAGAAATACCAAGTGACACTAAGTGAGGCTAAGTACCTTGGCGTCACTCTCGGCTCTAACAAGGGAAAGAAAGAGGAGCTCAACCAGCTCATAGGAACATGCAAAAGTCGACTCAAGGCACTGAAAGCTATGACCTGGAATGGGCATGAGGCCTCTATTGCCGTGCTTAAAATGATGTACACAGCCTATATGTGTACAGCTCCGTGTTAGACTATGTCGCACCAGTCCTGTGCACTTATTCCCAAGGCGATGTGAAAAAACTTGAAAACATATAAAATGAAGCCATGACGATCATTCTTGGAGTCCCAAGAACTGCCAAAACATCTAATCTACGAGAGGAGTTGTCCGTCTCCAGTGTTAAAAGCAGAATTAAGGAACTGAATGCCAGGCTTGCAATTAAGAGAGATCCCCATTAAAATTATATTTCCAAGAAAAAACAGAGTTCTGTGCTACTTACAGGAGGAAACAGGAGAAGCAAAAAATGGCATCACCGATCAGTCTGGTACCTGGAAGAACTTCACCTGCTTGAGCAAGCCCGTGAGCTGCCTGTACAGAGGTTACCTCCCTGGGAGGATGACTCTTGCAGGATTATTATCAATGAGATGTCAATGAAAAGGTACAACATGATACCCCAAGAAATGAGGCACAAGTATATTGAGGAAATTTATAAAGACGCAGGAAATTAATTAGACCAAATATACACTGATGGGTCATCTAATCATGTCAATGGCAGAGCTGGCGCAGTATACACTGTAATTAGGAATACAGTATAATGCCTTTCAACGCGGAAATGAAGAAAAGGCACGTATTGAGAACTATGTCTCTTCAACGCAAGTGGAGCTAGTTTCCATTGTTATGGCGTTAAGGTTCCTTGAGCGAAACACTTATGGTGCAGTGATCTGCACTGATTCAAAAGCAGCGCTACAAAGACTTAGTAAAAATCGGACAGAAAACTTTGCGATAGTCGCTGAAATCAAGAGCTGTGAGAGTACTAACCAATCAGGGAAGAGTCATCAAGTTCCTGTGGATCCCCTCTCATGTTGGAATCTGGAAATGAACGAGCAGATGTGCTGGCTGCTGAAGGAGACCATATTGAATACTTCATACCCAAAACTCTTCTACAAATTAGAGGTATCAGGTTGCCCCGTTCTCACACTTGCTTACGGTCAATATTGGCTTATTTAATAAGTGCATATGTGACATACTAATTGATTGTGAATATTTTAGTTTACCTTGAAAAGCTTCATAGAAAACACCGACCTCACCTAACCTTCTTAGTATGTTAAGATAAGCATCTTATTTACAATTATTACTTAACCTATCAACGGTATAGGTTAAGTAATAATTGTTATTAAGAAGCAATAAGATGCTTATCTTAACATACTAAGAAGGTTAGGTGAGGTCGGTGTTTTCTATGAAGCTTTTCAAGGTAAACTAAAATATTCACAATCAATTAGTATGTCACATATGCACTTATTAAATAAGCCAATATTGACCGTAAGCAAGTGCGAGAACAGGTATATATCACCTGACAAGGTAACTGAGGAAAGGAGGATAGAAGCACAAACCAGTGAATCTGTGGTATAATGCGGTTGCAGCTGACAATCCTAATCATTATGGACGAAGAGAGAATCAGTAATAGCAAGAATACATGAAGATTCGCGATGCAAACAACAGTTGGGAAGCGGAGTTGCAGAATCTGTGGTGAGTGACGGACACCGCCTTGACCACTACCTGAGAGAATGTGAACATTAAGAGTCATTAGAAATATGTATAGAATAATAATCCTCACATTGTTTGAGTTAGGAAAAATATTATTGGTCAAATACAGATATTGTTCTCAAAAGATTCCCCCATTTTGCAACAGCTGTGTCTGGGTACAAGTGATAGAATGAACAACCCAGCGGGTTTTCTTCTTATTGGGGAGTGTTGTACATGCTGCTATGGCGGTGTGTCCACTCACAGGATGAGTGGCGCTGCCCAATAAACTCGCCCCTCGGGACAAAATGAAATAAAAAATTTAGGACTACAGGGGACATTTGTAAATTCATATTTCATAATATATTTAAAATCTAATTTGCAGAGAAAGATTTGAATTGTGGATATTGTATAAATTTGAAATATAAACTCCACTGCATATTTTTGTTTTATTTAAGTCATGAAATTTCATCCGAGTTACTTAGCGTGAATACCTGAACGACGTCGCGTGTCAGGCCATACTCGCCTTTATCGCCCCTGGGTTACCACGCTCTTTATTGGGTATACCTGGTGTGTCATGTCCCTGTGTCCAGGTGTGTGGGGTGAGGCAGGTGTGCGTATATGAGGCGTGTGTGTATGAGGCTAGCATGCACGAGGCAGGTGGTGGCGGCGGCGGTGCAGCAAGACACCAGCAGAGGGCGAGCGACCGCCTCTGCCACACCCTCCCCGTCGCCGCCGCCACCCTGCTCCAACACTCACATCAAAACCTAAATAAAGAACTCGCTTTGCTCACAAATATAAAATCTTATACATTGCATTTTTAAACATTTTCGATAATATTTAATTACATTTGTAAGGCGGAGGGTGAGTGTTATTGTTTTATTAGGGTGATAATAATGGAGTGCAAGTGCCTGGCTTGACTCGCTGGAACCGAAGTGTGCGTTTGTCAACAAAGCTGAGAGGAACTTGGTGATTCATCAAGAGCCAGCAGTACCGCCCCTCACTTCCCAGTCAACCTGCTCCTCTCACGCCCCTCACCGTTCCCTTCAGGGGACTGCCGTTATGTCTACTGATACGGTAGGAGAGAGCCTATTGGCCGCCCTCACCCTACAGCTGTAGCCACATCACTGACCTTGTTGGGCCTGAGGGTGTAGTAGGTCAAGGGACTGTAGCCACATCACTGACCTTGTTGGGCCTGAGGGTATAGTAGGCCAAGGGACTGTAGCCACATCACTGACCTTGTCGGGCCTGAGGGTGTAGTAGGTCAAGGGACTGTAGCCACATCACTGACCTTGTTGGGCCTGAGGGTATAGTAGGCCAAGGGACTGTAGCCACATCACTGACCTTGTCGGGCCTGAGGGTGTAGTAGGTCAAGGGACTGTAACCACATCACTGACCTTGTCGGGCCTGAGGGTGTAGTAGGTCAAGGGACTGTAGCCACATCACTGACCTTGTCGGGCCTGAGGGTGTAGTAGGTCAAGGGACTGTAACCACATCACTGACCTTGTTGGGCCTGAGGGTGTAATATGGTAGATCAGAAGACTTTAGCTACATCACTAACCTTGTTCAAGGTGGTGATGTATCACCAAGGTGGTGCCAGTCTGTATTAAACTGTTTACAAGCTTCGTTACAATTTTGAGCTCATTTTTAACCCAAGGTATTATTGTTATTAACAATCTCATAGTACCATGAAGCTCTAGTGTTTTAATAAATGTAAACTAAGTCGACATGATTAAGAAAAGATGTGCATGATATATAAGTAGGTGATTTAAGTGCTTGATAAATCCTGACCCAGATAGTTTTGGCAAAGGACCTATTGTCATTCAGGCCTGGTTCTTGTATCCTGAGGTGCATGTTTCATCACCAGAGCATTGCAGTTTTTGAAGACCAATCCTGTTTTTGCCGAGTCTTACCTGCCAATGTTCCCCACCTGCAACACTGTTGTGTGGCATTTGTTTGGTCATCACACTGAAGCTCTTAATTGATGGTTGCTGTGCAAGTTCTTTCTTAATCTGTTTCCCAGCATCATCTGCACTAGGTGCTGTACTGCTTTAATCACAGTTGAGTTTTTTTTTGTTTTTCTGTATACAGTATCTCAGCTCGGTACAATATTGTTACATTCAGAGATAACTGAATGGTGAAAGCTCAGAATTCAGGGTTTGAATAATCATGAAAGGCATCTTTCTTAGCAGGATTATTTGGTTGCCTCTAGTCCCTCTCATTCTGTCCCTTATCCCATGTGCTCAGATTTAGTTTTCTGTCATGAAGGATCATGTGAGGCGCCTGAGTCTTGTAACCCTGGAGTGTTCATGGTACTTCCACCTGGTGGTGGTTAATGGGGATAGCCAGATAGGCAAAGGAGCAGTTAGCAAGAGTCCACGGTTGGTAGTCACATGACCAGTCGGTCATTCTGAAATGAATTTAATTTTCTCCAGTGACTTTCAGCACCTATTAAAACAAAAGAATACTTGAAAATTACATGGTACTTGTACCAGAATGTTGTCTAGCTTGACAGTTCACAAGCTTGTCATGTGACACGATGTTTTACATGGTTACCACTGTTCATGGACGGAGTTTTTGTTTGGTGATGCTTGATCAGTTAAAATAAAATTATTTTGGTTTAGTATGTAAACAGATGTCAGCTACCAAATTATAACCAGTTAATACTGTACAGTATGTCCATTAAGCATTAGTGAATGCAAACATTAATGTGTACAGTACTGCAACTACACCACAGCTGTGTTAACCATGAGGACACTCTTCTCTATAATATAGATTAAGATAATTAGGATGGTGGGAATAGTTTAGTATTACATTACTAAATGCCATTTTTTAAATTAAGTTTAAGATGCTACATTATTATTTAATATAGTCAAGCTGAAATCTCAGTTAATGGCTTTTTAAAATTGTTGTTTTACTGTACTGTATCTAAATTTTGCATGTGCTTTCCAGTTCAGTAATCCAGACATGCCAGGATATGTTGGATTTGCCAATCTTCCAAATCAGATTCACCGTAAATCTGTCAAAAGAGGCTTCGAGTTTACTTTAATGGTTGTAGGTGAGTGATCCCTGTTGTAGAACAATATTGGCTATTGAATACATTGCAGGAGTGTTGAAATGTTGAGTAAACTAGTTCTCTCATGGGTAATGTTGCACACCTAGATTCAATACATATATTCAGTCCTTTATAGTGTAATTTGTAATTCTTGTATTTTAGTCATAAACACTTTTCCATACCAGTCTTTGTGCATTTAGTCTTTTTGCTAAGCAATTAATTATTGTATGCATGTGATTACTTTATCTAATGAAGGTATTTTCATGAAATACGGTACAGTGTAAGATATTCAACTGAGCAATGTATGCTACTAATTAAAGGATACATGTTTTGCCAAACAAACATGGCTTCAATTCATATTTGTTTTTTAATATTTTATGATAATGTCCATGAATAAAATTAAAAAAGGTTACAGGATTTTTTTACAATACCAGTATAATGAAGAGTAGACATAGTACAAAAAATATGCTTCTATTTTTATCTTCAATAGGTGAGAGTGGATTGGGAAAATCAACATTGATCAACACACTCTTCCTCACTGATCTCTACCCAGACAGAATTCTGTCTTCTGCTCAAGGTGAGTTTATTAGCTATAAATTTTACTCATATTATTATTATTTTTAAACTTGAGCTATCATTATTTTTCTACTGTTAGTTTTAGGGGCCAGTATTTTGAATCCATTCATTCAAAATAGTCTCCAGATAATATATTATGAAGGGTCTGATGGTTTCTATTGAAATTCTCTGCAGTAATACCTTGCTGTAAGACCTCTCAGGATTACACTCCTGCCATATCCACAACTAGGTTGTGTCACTCACGATATTTGCCCAACTTATCTGCTTTTCTCTCTTTCTGTCCTCAAAATGTGCTCATATTTTTTTTATTTGCTTATTCAGTATGATCACTGCTGGGTATGTTATATTGAACATTTAGTGAAGATCTTTCACTCTGACATTAGAGCATTGATCCTCACTCATCTCACACATACTGGATAATACTGTAGTACTCATTTTATATTTAGATAGTTGTAGTAGTAGTCATACACAATTTGGTGTAATTCTTTTTGTTTTCCTTATAATTTGCAACAGAGAATATTGATAAAACCGTAAAGATTGATGTATCGACAGTGGAGATTGAAGAGCGAGGTGTTAAAGTTAGACTGACAGTAGTTGACACGCCAGGTTATGGAGATGCCATTGACAACACAGATTGGTGAGTATCTGAGTACTTCAGCTTTTCAGAAATTGTTGTTTACCAGTGTGTATGAAGGGTTATTTAGCATTTGGTAGTGAACATGCAATCACTGGTAAATGCCTTTTGTGTATCATATTAAACTTTTAACATTTATGCATATTGGTGCAAGAAAGTTATTTATTGTTACTGGGCCATATAGGCCTCTGGTGGAATATATAATTTTTGTTTAGCTCATCATCAGGGGAACACCTTGAATGATACTGAGGCAACTAGTGTGGGGGTTTTCTTTTTTGCTTTCACGACTGCAATGCGTACGTCGCCAATGTACATGTGGCAGACGCTTCACGAAACTGTCGGAATTAGCAGAATAGAAAATACGAGAGCAACCGTACAGGGCCTGGGAGCAAGGTCGAGTTAAGAGTCCTTGAGGGTCTCTTCTCAGACTAGCCTCACCTGGTCCTGCTCCACATTGATTGTTGGAATCTCCTCAATGATTTAACACTTTAAGGGACTCCCAGGGGTCCTCATCACATTTATAGTTTAGTGAATTAGGCAACTCGGTGTTGAAGACACCTAGAGCTGAAGGCTTGAGTAATATTGGCAGTATTCAGAAGTGGTTCAACGGAAACACCGCATAAAGCTTAACAGTAGTTTATTACTAACTTAACCACTAATTCAAAGGGTGCTTGATTTACTTTAGATTGGCGTCAGCAAAGCTATGGTTATATTAGCGAGACTCTTGACGTCTGGCTAACGACTCGTATCCACTCATGGCGAAACACCTAACTTAACACAGTTGACAGCCAATCATTAACACGGCAACCTAACTGCCGGTATGCAAAGGGATCACAAGAATTCCAACCGGATACTCGGTAATGATGATATGCAATAAATCACAAATACACTGTCAATGGGACAGGCAATAACATGCACAATAATAATGTCACACAATAACTAAATGTGTGATGTATGTGAAGCTCACATTCACAGACGCGTGAAATGCCGTGATACCACACAGATAAACACACATTCACTGTTGATTCACCTGTAACCTGTGACAGGTATGAGAAGGTGAGAACTGTGGTTGAATCCTCAGATAAACACAGACACAATAAAACAATGACAAGATCTTGTACTTACAGACAAGGTACCTTTCCTTACTCACTCAGACACATTTATGCAAGAACTCGTAGGTGGCCTGACAGCTGGTTTCGCTCGTAGACACGGAGGGTACTCGCAGTAGGGTGTACTGTATGTCTACAGACACACGCACACACTCTTGGCACTGGCGGTGAGTAAGGGTGGTGACGTCACGTGGTACAGTGAGGGCGGCGGCGGCTGGCGGCTGCAGGTTATATGGTACCATGCACTATACTGTACACTGTGGTAAAGTCACACACAGATTACTTAGGCGGCGGCACTGCCTTAGTTCACTCTAAGTCACTCACAACGATCTTTGTCACCAGGGGTTACCTGATACCAGTCTGTTTCGCTCTGGTGATTTTGTCACTTTAGGCTTCTGAACAATATATTCACACTCATGATTCTGGGCGAGTGTGGGTATATCGTAAAGACGCTGAGTTAACTTGACGGTGAGACATGGACGGTGTTCAGTCTATTGGCCGGTAGACAGAACAGGACACGTCCTCTGGGTAAGGGCTCCCTCACTTGAATACTCTACAAGGGCTGCCGGGCATCTCGTGGCACACAGCACAAAAGTTACAATTTGACCAATAGCATTGCAGCAAATGGGCGGGAACCAATCATATTGACCGTTCGATGATCAGTAGCAGGAGTGACGTCATGAACACGTCACGACCACGTCATGGCTGTTATTCTCCATCGCTCCGGTTGATCCCAGGGTCACACTGTCGCCTTGCAGGCGTCCCCTCTACTCTTCTCACGGTTCACACCAGCCAATGTACTCATTGACCCTTTGGCAAGTATGCTTAACTTTCCTGTATCTACTTCCTGCCTGGACATACGGCGGCCTCCGTATTATAAAAGTGTTCCTGGTTAAGTGGGCATTCTGGAGATACCCAACATGCCAAGTCACTATCCAGGGTTAAGAGAGATGGGCCTTGTGCACGAAGTTTGGTGCACTGTGCACTGCAATGCCATTCAAGTCAGCTGTGGGAGAATCTTGAGAGAGACATTCTCACAACTAGCAACAATACAATTAGTTGCAAATTTCTACACTCAAGCAAATTTCTACACTCAAGCCCTATTTCCAGAGGATTATTCCAGTCTTTCCACTTGCAAATGATCCTCTAGGAAGTTTTACATGAGCCAGTTTTGTACTTTTTTTTCCCCAAGTATTACAGGAAATACAATATTATAAAGATATGGTATTCAATTCAAATTTGGGATGTGTATGTCTTGGATCTACACCATATAGTGCAGTATTGTGTACTCACTTCTATTCCATTCCAAATTATGTTGCATCATATACCTCACGGCCCAAAGAAGGTTTATCTATTGCATTGTGCAGAGCGCCTTGAGGTGCTAGATCGGTGGTGCGCAGGGCGCTCGTAGGTACAGTATAGCGTAGCATTCAAGACTCCTGCGGCTACATGGGGTTCACATCACCTTCCTCAGGGCTCTTGTAAACAATATTATTTTTTTTTTTTTTTTTTTTTTTTTTTTTATAATTGTGGGCAACATTCCCGGGTGTGAGAGCCTCAGTACTGAGTGAGCAACCAAGGCTGGCACACATAGCATAAGATAACAGCAATGCTGAGAGAGAGATATATACAAGAGTTGTTACATTCTTGTACAGCCACTAGTATGCGTAGCGTTTCGGACAGGTCCCTGGAATACGATCCCCGCCGCGAAGAATCGTTTTTACAACCAAGTACACATTTTACTGTTGAGTTAAACAGAGGCTACAGTTAAGGATTTGCGCCCGGTAAATCCTCCCCGACCAGGATACGAACCCATGACAAAGCGCTCACGGAACGCCAGGCGAGTGTCTTACCACTGCACCACGGAGACTGGTTCAGCTTGTGACCACAGCATCGCCTAAAAATGTTAAAATAATGTAAATGTAACTGGTATTATTTAGCCATGATAGTATTACAGAAGAGCCTGACTGTGATAAAGACTGTAAAATGTTCATATATCGGTGAATCAATGCTGTTCGAGATGTTCACAGCATTAGCCACAGCACACTGCCATTATTTTGTCCATCTAATAATCTTCAAATGACCTTTTATGTTTCTTTACAAAATAAACTAGTGGAAAATTATTAATTTACAGAATTTAGTTACCAGGATTCTGATAATAGCAGGATTGTGGTGAGAATTAGCAATGTGCGTAGTATAGTGGGAGGAGTATTCTTGGTGAGGGAGGGAGAGGCGGCGGCATCTGCTGGTTGGTGTGTGGCAACCTGTTATTGTCTGAACTCACCATACCAGCTTAGTGGTTTGCTATGGTGAACACAAATGTAGATACTTATATATAACGTGTTTATATATAGTGTAAGGACAGCAAAATGGGTATGTTAGGAGGAGCCATTTTGATGAGTGAGTGAGTGAGGCTGTCGTTTGCTGCCTGTTGTGTGACTTGTCATGCAGTGTATGGTGGCCGCTGTGCTGTTTGGACACCATACCAGCTTAATTGTATAGTTATGGTGAATAAAACATGTAGATACTTATATATAATGTGTATAAATAGTGTAATATAAACAATAACAGTATGGAGGGAGCAGGATTGTTGGCGAGTAGGTGTTGATGGAGGGAGGGAGGGAGGTGGCGTCTGCTAGCTACTGTGTTGCGGCCACTCTCGCTGTTTTGACTCGCATACCAACTTAGTTGTTCATTATGGTGAACACACATGTAGATAGGTATATACAATGTGTGTGTATGGTGTAATAACAGCAAAAACACTGTTTGATTGTAGAATATAATATATATGTCACAAATATGAGCCCCATAATTTTTAGCATAGCGATGTTCCACACATTGAACTATATAAATTCCACAAATTACACACTTTTGAGTAATATTACAGCAAAAACCAGAGAAGAAACGAATGAGAAACATCAATATAATTGTGAAGCATTATATTCACGGCAATTGCTGCCCCACGGGTTGGCAGGGTCGAGTGAAACTGAACGCTCCATCGCTCAGCACCCATGATTTGCTCAACTTCCCAACTCCATCACGGCTAACTTATGTCACATACAATATTCTTTTTAATTTCCCGTGATCAGAGACTACATTTTAACAATATAAGAGAGAACATTTTTTGGCAAAGAATTTATTTTCGGCGCACAGCGGGAATGTTATATTTTAATGCACAGCAGTGCATTGGTTAAGGAGGTCTTCATCCATATTTCGAGGGGCTGTTTAGTTTAGAGACAAGATTGAAGAAACAGAAAATAGGGAGGTGTCATAGTATTGGTAAAAGTCACTCAAATGTAAAATAATTAATACTCAATAATCCATAAGATGTAGATATTATAGCAGTGGAAATACAAAACCAGACAAATTAATGATCATAAAGGCCTACAGCTCACCAAGAAGTAGCACATGAACAAAAGTGGAATTAGTTAAGAAAGGTCTTGTCCTGTTATAAATTATAAATGCTGTTCATTATGATGTGTAAATATGTGAAGGGAAATATTAGAGAATTTCAACTGTGGCCCCTGGTGTCATACATAGTGATTTTATCTCTTCCAATTTCTACACATACAGTATGAAATGGGGTTGGGACATGTTTGTTGAATGATGTATTTCATTCCACACAGACACTGTAATTATGTCATTTGATGTACATACAGTATTACTGAAATTAATCAAAATTACTTGGGCTTTATATCTGGAGAAACACAGTGCTGCACCATTGTAGCTTTGTTGTGTAACTCCAGATTGGCCTGATACCACTAACATACTTTGTGTAATTTGCCAGGTTGATGTAAAGCAGGCATGTCAAACTGAGATTTCCCCAAGGGTCATATGGGTCACATTTGTGTTGTCATGAGGGCCACACATGACTACTAATTGAAGTCATTTAATAGAAATTATTGCAGAATAATTGTATTACTGTACTTAAAATTTGTTATTACTTTATTACTGTGGCCCTTTGTGCGGGCCGCAGGTGTGCTTGCAAAGGGCCGCATGTTTAACAAGCCTGATGTAAAGTATTCCCTTTTATTTAATATAATTGTACTCACTCTGATTTGGTCTGTCAGATATTGATTAGTACTTGAATATTTATTTGTTTAAATGTTAAATAATAATTGTTACCTTAATTTTCAGTTTTCAATCAATTATTCAGTATATCAATGACCAGTTTGAACGATATCTCCAAGATGAATCTGGTCTAAACCGTCGCCACATTGTTGATAACCGGGTCCATTGTTGCTTCTACTTCGTCAACCCAGCTGGTCACGGGTATGTGTTGACAAGCACTTGTTTTAAGATGATCTTCTTAACTAAAGCAAAGATTTCAGCATTTGTTACATGGAATAATGTCTTTTTCTCTGTTAGTATTAATATCATTTTCCCTCATGTACAATGGAGAGGTTCATTGATGTATGTAACATCTTTCTATATAGAGAGTGAAAAGGTTCATTATCAGTGTTTGTATCATTAATCTATATGGAGTGGAGAGGTTTATTATCAGGGTATGTATCATCGACCTATGACGAGTGGAGAAGCTCGTTACTGTGTCAGTGTATGCATCGTCAACCTATGCAGAGTGGAGAGGTTCATTATCATTGTATTTATCATCAACCTATGTAGAGTGGAGAGGTTCGTTATCAGTGTATGCATCATTCTATATAGAGTGGAGATTATACCACACTATTATATATCTCCTGGTAAGCTGCTTCATATGTTTACCACTTGAATATACAAGTATATAGCCTAATTAAAGTAAAATCGTTTTCGTGTAAATTTAAAACCATTTCTGTGTTATTGACTTTTGTCATGAGCAGCGTTGGATTATTGTGTATGTCATACTCGTCCTGTGATTGGTAGTGAAAAATGATTACAGAGGACACAAAATGACTTACTCTGACCGAAGTGGGTCTTGTTGAACATTTATTAGAATTCAGTTGTACCCCTTATTTGCAAGTATGGTAGTAACAGAACAAATGCTTGCACTGCAGCTGCTGTTTGACACTGTAACATTGCACATTTGGGCCAAGTCAATTAGGTAATACTTAGCATTTTTTCAGCATTGAATATTACAAAATAACAGGTACAGGTATGACTGTTTTCATGTAGAGTGATAGAGGTTTGGCAGGAATTGCATGTTTACTAAAAGTGTAAATCCTCATAAATGATTTTTTTTGTTTTCAACAGATTGAAACCTCTTGATATTCAGTTTATGAAGCAGTTACACAACAAAGTAAATATTGTTCCTGTCCTTGCCAAGGCCGACACACTCACCAAGCAGGAGGTAGCGAAGCTCAAACGAAAGGTGAGCTTACTAATGGAAAGTGTTACAGATTTTTGTCGCAGAAATCACCAAAGGAAAACAGGTAAACAAGTATGAGTCAGTGAAGATAAATATGCATATACTGTGTGGTCCTGTGGGGCAATTGGTAACATCTCACTCTAATTAGAAATTTAATTTATATTGATATTAAAAGTATTTGTAATTTATAATTTAGAAAAATTAAGAAAAAACATATTAAAATAAGTATGTTTCCCCAGTAAGAAAATAGTGATTATAAACACCAAGATAAGGATAGACTTTAGTTGTAGACATTGCAAGGTTTCATGGAAGTGCTTTATCACACTTAACATGGATACATGGGTAATGATTCTACACTTGTAAAATAATTTTGTTGGCCGAAGATTGAGGTGGATGGGGAGCAGAAGGTTCCTGTTATGTCAGCGGCAGGTACCTCATGGGTTATTTGGTAGTCACCCGGGGTGCAGCTTGGTAGTCACCCGGGGTGCAGCTTGGTAGTCACCCGGGGTGCAGCTTGGTAGTCACCCGGGGTGCAGCTTGGTAGTCACCCGGGGTGCAGCTTGGTAGTCACCCGGGGTGCAGCTTGGTAGTCACCCGGGGTGCAGTTTGGTAGTCACCCGGGGTGCAGTTTGGTAGTCACCCGGGGTGCGGCTTGGTAGTCACCCGGGGTGCAGCTTGGTAGTCACCCGGGGTGCAGCTTGGTAGTCACCCGGGGTGCAGTTTGGTAGTCACCCGGGGTGCAGCTTGGTAGTCACCCGGGGTGCAGTTTGGTAGTCACCCGGGGTGCAGCTTGGTAGTCACCCGGGGTGCAGCTTGGTAGTCACCCGGGGTGCAGCTTGGTAGTCACCCGGGGTGCAGTTTGGTAGTCACCCGGGGTGCAGTTTGGTAGTCACCCGGGGTGCAGCTTGGTAGTCACCCGGGGTGCAGCTTGGTAGTCACCCAGGGTGCGGCTTGGTAGTCACCCGGGGTGCGGCTTGGTAGTCACCCGGGGTGCGGCTTGGTAGTCACCCGGGGTGCGGCTTGGTAGTCACCCGGGGTGCAGCTTGGTAGTCACCCGGGGTGCGGCTTGGTAGTCACCCGGGGTGCGGCTTGGTAGTCACCCGGGGTGCAGCTTGGTAGTCACCCGGGGTGCAGTTTGGTAGTCACCCGGGGTGCAGCTTGGTAGTCACCCGGGGTGCAGCTTGGTAGTCACCCGGGGTGCAGCTTGGTAGTCACCCGGGGTGCAGCTTGGTAGTCACCCGGGGTGCAGCTTGGTAGTCACCCGGGGTGCAGCTTGGTAGTCACCCGGGGTGCAGCTTGGTAGTCACCCGGGGTGCAGCTTGGTAGTCACCCGGGGTGCAGCTTGGTAGTCACCCGGGGTGCAGCTTGGTAGTCACCCGGGGTGCAGCTTGGTAGTCACCCGGGGTGCGGCTTGGTAGTCACCCGGGAGGAAGCTTGGTAGTCTGTCTCTAGTAGTAAATGATTTTTATTTAATAGGAATGCACTCTGGGTATAATTGAGCATTGTCCAGTGTTTCTCACACACAAGTATGACCTGGCTGGCGGGAATAATTTGGGAAGTTGTTTACTACACCAGTTCTACACCAGTTCTACACCAGTTCTACACCAGTTCTACACCAGTTCTACACCAGTTCTACACCAGTTCTACACCAGTTCTACACCATTTCTACACCAGTTCTACACCAGTTCTACACCAGTTCTACACCAGTTCTACACCAGTACTTCAGCAAATCCTAACCAGAGATCAGTTGGATCTTGTCTTAGAAAGCTGTTTAGATTTTTTTTATGCATACAAAGCTCGATTTGTGTGCACCACTTACGAAGTACCTTAATTTACAAATCATTGTTCTCAACCCCTAGGTTTTGGACGAAATTGAGGAGAATGGGATTCATATCTATCCCCTGCCAGACTGTGATACAGATGAGGAAGAGGATTACAAAGAGCAGGTAACAGAATGCTTATTGTAAAGGTAAACTATGAGAGTTAATCTTAAAATGCTTATTATTTAATGTGTCATTATAATATATGATGGATGGGTGATAAATATCCAGAGGAAAATTTGAAAAAGTCTCATATAATCATTTACTAAGTCTGCTAACCTATTCAGAGAGAGTAAAATAGAGAAACAAAACAATGTTTTATGACTTGGAAGGGACAAAATTGCAGTAAAAGATATAAGATGCATGTTGACCAAACCACACACTAGAAATTGAAGTGACGATGACGTTTCGGACCATTTTGGACCATTATCAAGTCGATTGTGATGAGATGAAGGATCCAAGAGAGAGGCGAGGAGATGGAAATCTTGGAGGATGGTAAAAGCAAGGCAAAAAGTATGGAAGGTAAGGGTGTAATAATAAGAAAAAGAAAGGGATCATAAGAGAAAACAAGGGAAAGAAAAACAGAGAGAAAAGGAAGGGTAGGCTTATCCTTTTTTTTTTTTCGCCTATTCATCCAGTCCATTGATATTGATAATTGGGTGTAGGCAGCATCGGCATTGCATGCGAGGTTTAGGTTGCAGCAACACGCTAGGTTTGTTGCCTTTCCAGATGCTGGAGAGATCCCGGGGCTGGGGAGACTTGGGGTGTTTGGGCCCCGTTTGACCCTGCCTGGGTGTTGATACCCTCGGCACGGGGCTTGTTGTTACAAGGGGAGGGGTTTTCTTACTCCTCCCTGTACGAATTTGATATGGGTTCAGCAAATTTGATATGGGTTCGGTTCCAGGTTCCCTTGGGTTCTTCGGTCCCTTCCTTCCGGAGGTTTTTGGCTTCCCATATCCCACCTAAGGAGGTTCGGGAGGCTCCTGCAGTGTACCTCTTGCTTGTTCGCCCCCATGCTTCCTAAGGATATTGATCAGGTGCAGCTCTTTGTGCAGGTTCCCGCCCTTTTGGCATCCCATGTAGATGAGTATTTGCATGCCCGAGGTCATTTGGCTTCGGTCTTGCGTTTCTTTTCCCTACTCGAGCTGTCTTCGGACTGGCTTGAGAAGGATGTGGAGGTGCTGGGACCCGGGCCGGGGTCTGATGCGCTTGCCTTTTTTTTTTATATATATAATACAGTACAGTATTGTACTTTGAAGTAAAAATAGCAGCTGAGGGGATATGAAATGATAGAATTGTAAGACATTTACAAAAGTGACATACAGCATTATAAGTGGGGTGAGTAGGCATACACCATCATAGGAGAGGAAAGGCGTGCACACAGGAAAGTTTCCATTGCAACAGTATGAGAGTAGAATCAAGTAAAGGACATGTAGAAGTAGTAATATGTATGTGTTAAGTAATTTCTTTTTCCTTGGCCACTCCTTAAACTAATATGGAGAAGGCATTGAATGCATATACACATACAGTAATTTTTATTTATAATAATATCAAATAAACTTTAAAAGTTTTAGTAATGTATTAACATTTTTTATTGATTTCTTGCTTTAGGTTAGACAGTTGAAAGAAGCTGTCCCCTTTGCAGTTGTAGGATCCACAACGGTTTTAGATGTTGGTGGCAAGAAAGTTAGAGGAAGGCAATATCCTTGGGGTGTCATTGAGGTGGAAAACCCCAATCATTGTGACTTTATTAAACTCCGATGCCTTCTTGGGTGAGTAATAACATTTACAGGTATATAAGGGCCAGAGTAGTATTCCTAATTGTTTCAGATGACCCTTCTTATGTGGCAGAAATAATTAGATTTTTGTGCTTGTATGTTTCCTAGTTTTCTGAATCAGAACACCATAGCATAAAGGTAATGCTCATCCATGATATTATGTCCTAATAATATCATGGATGTAAACATTGTGTTTCATTGATAGACGAATTTGAATGTGAAAATATTGTACTTTTGCAGGTGTTAAGGAAGTTATTTCCACAAACATTAAGATTAATTATACACCTGTACAAAGTAACACCAACTTAACTGAGAATACAAAACAGCCATACAAGTGTAATAAGCATTATTTTTTTAATTTAAATGATTCAATTTAATGGTTTCATTTTTGTCAGAACTCACATGCAGGACTTGACAGAGGTGACGCAAGATGTACACTACGAGAACTACCGCTCTGAGAGGCTTGCCAAGGGCGGCGGCTCTCCTCTTGCGGCTGCTACTGCTGTCAACAATAACTCTCATTCTAGTACAAACTCACTACCATCTAAAAAGCAGCTGTAAGTTTGGATTTCTTTCAGTGAGTTTGTTTGATCACCAATTGTTTATCATAAGCCATGCATAGTTTCATTGACACATTTGAACTAATGTAATAATAAGTAGGAAATACTGGTATCCTTGATATACAAAACAGTTGTCCTGAAAAGTTGCTCATCAAGTGAAATTCCATTTATTGAGCCGTACCTGCTCACTGATTTCCATTACATAATTGGAAAATACAGAAAATTCTGAAAACATTCCAAATACTGTAATTGAAAAATTGTTCATACAGAAAATATTTGCTTACTAGAGGATATGGTTCAATATCAATTCTGACTGAGCGAAACTTGTAACTCTCAAAGTATATTATTTTTCCGAGCCCATTTATTATTTTTCAACATAGGCAATTTACTCTCTCCATGGTAATCCAATTATATTGATCTTTAGTGCTGTACTGTAATAGGAGATATAGTCCAAGATCCATTCTTAAGAATACCACTTAGTCCTTTGACCAGTGCAAACAATTCGCCATTTTAAAAATCAAATTTAGCCATAATATTTATATAACAAAAAAATAGGCCTATTAGCTATTTAATTCTTTAATCTTTTGCATTGAATTTGGTTTCTCTAGGAAATTTTTGATTAACCAGATTTACACCTGTATTTAAGGGGAGTTGGTTGATTCTCTTCTGATTGCTAAACTTATCACTTCTAAAATAACACCAATCACATGATCTATTTCTAAACAATTGTATTGACTTGTCCAAACCCAAAACTCTTTCTTTCCGTCAATATATTTTTATACATTTATTAAAAACAAAATAAAACTAATATTTAGAGAGAGATGGTCTAATAACCAGCCTGAGAATTGCATCAGTATATGGCACCTGCACTGAACTAAACTGAGCTTTGCCAAACCAAAACCCTTCAACCTTGAGAAATACATAGAACCAGGACACTTATACTGTATGGAAAATACATTTGAGTAATTACACTATACTTTGACTGTAACATTAGCAGTTTTTAGTGGTTCAATGTCATTGGGAAATTTTGATTCAATATGTGGAATTTTACCATAAATATGGCTTTTTGAGATTGTGTCTTTTAAGTATAATGAAGGATACTTGTAGTTTTATTATTATCGGGTAGTGTACCGTATTATATATTGTTACTTGTACATTTATGTTTCAATGGATCTTGTTTCATGTTTTTTGCTTTAATTTTATTAATCCTGTTAGATCACCTTGGGATGCAAGCACTTTTCCATGTCTACTTCTCTTTTCATTCAAAGATATAAGTACTGTAATATATATTGCATCAATTCTTTTTGTCTTCTATATGGAGAGCCCCGGACGCTCCAGGGAGCCTCCGGGTCTCGCCTAGAAAATGGCATTTCATTACATTCAACGCTGGTTTATTTTGTTTTCCTAAGATGTATTTTATATTGCACCTGTGGGGAAATATGTTGTGAGCAAGGCGTGATGAGTGATAATAACATGGTTGAAGTTGTGATGACCAAAGTACACATCAGAAGATAAACAGCGATGTATTGGTCCGTCCTGGACCATTATCAACGTTGTCGTTTCTCCATCTTCTGATGTGTGGTTTGGTAATCGAGGTATGTCTTATGAGACCTGGGAGAATGCATTGTGAGCAATGTACGTCTTATTTGACCTTGGAGAATGCATTGTGAGCAAGGTATGTCCTTTATGGGTCTTGGGAGAATGTGTTGTTTGCAAGTAGGTGGGAAGTGTTTGTATAGCTTTTAATGAGTGTCTTTGCTTCAGTAATTCCACACCGGTTGCTGGCCAAGAGAAGGACCGCATGGCCATGGAACTAGAAGAAAAAGAGGCACAGATACGCAAAATGCAAGAAATGATGGCTAGGATGCAAGCCCAACTTCAGGACAAAAAATAATCCACAGTTAATGTAGAAAAAGACCCATTGACATTATAAGCAAGTACTTAGCATAATACATAAGAGCTTTTGAGAATAAAGGCAAGTACTTAGTGTGCGGAGCTACAGTGTGAATTGGCTTAGATTAGGATCTCATCTGTAACTACTTCTGAAAATAATTACGTAACTTTTAATTACTAAAAAAAAATAAAAATTTACTATAACAGAGGTTAATAAATTACAAGTTATATTCTTGGTGAGGAAATTCTGTATTGGTATGGCATAAAACCTTCATTTAAGAGCATTTTAAGGCTCTTAATTGTAAAATATTCTGTGCTTGAACATGCACAAGAGTTTTCTTTAATAATATAAAATTTGAACTCCATAAAATCTCTTCATTAGGTATAATATGTTATATTAATTCTCTCAATTTTTAGAGCAATGATGTGCAAGTGCATGGGTATCATGGATTTCAGGGATGGTGTACAGTAAATAACTTACCAAACATGTACCTTATAGTCAGTGAGAATAATAATGTTTAGGAATGTCCTGTTAACTCTGGGAAGGCCAAGTACGGGGGACGGTGGGGTCTTGTAAGTCTTATTAATGCTCTCGTCATTATTTAACTGAATTTGGCTCTCTGTTTTTCTCTCGGTTTTGTACTTGTAATTAACCCCCCCTCATCTGAGATAGGGTTTATTCATATTTTGACAGAACAAATTTATAATATTCCCCATGTATAAGAGTATCAGTGTTATCTTAGTTATTGTAGTTAATAAACACACTTAAATTTATGTTTTGTTGATGTATTTGTAGAAAATAAAGTTGTATTGTAAGATTTACTGTGCATGCCATACAGTGGTCTGACACATACCTGCAGCCTCACATTAAACCCAAAGAATGCTACTCTCTTTTTCTTAATCTTTATTGTTGCCTCTTATGATTGTTAAAATTTGATTTCTCAGGCATTTTTCTTGTTATTAAAAATTACTCATTTGTGTAGACACATAGCATGTTAAAACCAGTACAGAGTCAACAAATAAAGCAAGTAGGGGTTTTGAATCTTTGAATCTAAAACAAATTGCAACTGAGTTTTATTTTGTCTACTGGCTAATCATTATTGAGTGAACAACTTAGCCTTTGTTGTGGTCTATTGTATAAAGTCATGTAGTCAAGACATGTGAGCAGGTCAATGCACTGCCTGGCTTTGTTAAGAGGTAAAGTCAAAACATTTCTGGTAAGACAAAATAGTGGCTGACAATCATGTTTTCAAACTAGAAACTTACTTAAAAGAATATAAAATAGTAATTTTCTTAGCATGGTGTTCATTACATGATTGAAGTACTGTGCGTGCACCTCACAAAATATTTCTTACACGTATATGAAGTTGCTTGTTGTATTGTGATTCATCAGGTGTTCCTCGGAGCATGAAACACTTCACGCACTAATCCAACTACGAAACAACCTCAAATGAAATAAAATGAAAATAGATGACTGTATTTGTGCTGCAAATAACAGAAAATTTAGTGTTTTCTTCAAGATCAACTGTGATGTGATACAAGATATTGGTAATATTAATTAGTGCTGCTCTCGGTACCATATAAGCTTCTTATAGAGGTCCAAGCTTCATTGTAACGGAGACCTTTTTGTTTAATCAGTTCCCACCAAAGTATGTTAATCTAGAGCTTTTAGGATAAGCGTAATTGTAATTCTTAATTTTAATATTTAGGTTATTGGCCATTTAGTGTTAAGTCATCACTTATGATCTAGTCTTCCAAATTTAGCTGGCCTCTCAAAATTATTAAACTAACAAGGAAGGCTGTTCATCAATCAAAATGGGTGCATTTGTATCAGGTTTACCTGGGACCTGAAGACCTGCAATTTGGATTGCCCATGGCATTTGAATAACACTGCCAGTATTGAGTCATTTGATATTAAGCATGGGTGTATGAGTTCACACGCCTCGGTGTTTCTCATGAAGCATTTTGAATCGGTCAGTTATTTATTGGCATACAATGTGTGTAAGTATTGCATGTCTTGATCTGGATAATTAAACTTCTGGTATATTAGCTGCTGGTCAATCATTGTATGAATGTATTGTATGTGTTTAAATTTACTTGTCAAAGTCAAGAATATAAAAAATGCACTTGCTGCTGGGAAATGTGTGCTAAGCAAAGGGTCTCATATTTAGTATTTTTGCTTTATTGCCTAAAATGTGAGATTTGAGACTGATCAATTGACCTCGCCTATTTAAAAGTTCACAAATGGTGATTAATTTGTTCTTGTATATTCGTATCACTTTATTGTTGGAAAACAATAATTTGAGTGATATTTAAATGCCTCCTGAAGCTGAGTGTGCCTTAATAATCACAAAATAGAGTAGCTGGTTAAAATTTCTTGAGTAAATGAAACAAACATTTAAGGCTTATTTACAGCTTTCTATATTTGCCACTTCATTCTACACTAATCTACATTACAAACCACTCCTCTCCCTTGAAAAAACCCACCAGTTTGCAGCATTGATCCTCTTAATATTAGTACATATTATTCGTTAAACTCTTTAAAATAAAAGATTAAATAAAAACATAACCAATGTTTAAAAAGTGAAACTGTCTATTGTGTTCATCATTCTTAATATGATTAGAATCTGTGTAAATTAAATTATTATATTCCTATAACAGTCACAACATTTGTTAAATAGTGTTCTTGCATCTCAAACACAATCCTCATTGTTACAGGCTTGTTATGAACATTAGTTGTTGTAATTTTATAATGCAATTGGTATTTTTCAATAGGGCATGTATGTTCATTCAACAGAATACTCGTTATGTTGCCTTTAAGTTCCTTATTTTTGTGTCTAATCTGACACTACCTGGTATAACAATATAGTATAATATATTCTCTTGATTATCTGGATTGCTTGAAACCCAACCTGCACTTCAGTATAGTACTGTATAAGCTTAATATACCCATTTAAATCCTACCTTATTGTTGAATAACTAACTTTTCCCTTGTGTTTGATCTCTTGCCTAAATTTTATCATTCCATTCTATCTAATGTATAATATGTATAATATATATATATATATATATATATATATATATATATATATATATATATATATATATATATATATATATATATATATATGTCGTACCTAATAGCCAGAACGCACTTATCGGCCTACTATGCAAGGCCCGATTTGCCTAATAAGCCAAGTTTTCCTGAATTAATATATTTTCTCTAATTTTTTTCTTATGAAATTATAAATCTAACCATTTCATTATGTATGAGGTCAATTTTTTTTTATTGGAGTTTAAATTAACGTAGATATATGACCAAACCTAACCAACCCTACCTAACCTAACCTAACCTATCTTTATAGGTTAGGTTAGGTTAGGTAGCGGAAAAAGTTAGGTTAGGTTAGGTTAGATAGGTTAGGTAGTCGAAAAACAATTAATTCATGAAAACTTGGCTTATTAGGCAAATTGGGCCTTGCATAGTAGGCTGAGAAGTGAGTTCTGGCTACTAGGTACGACATATATATATATATATATATATATATATATATATATATATATATATATATATATATATATATATATATATATAATCACAAGCCAAATATACACATTCAAGCCTAAAATACACACTCAAGCCTAATTAATATACACAGTGCAAAATGCGGCACACAAATAACAAACTAAATGTGGAATTCAGGTAATCAAGAGTTTTTTTCTGCAATAATCTGCAGATGAAAAGCAGTTTTGGCCTGTCTTGTGTGCCAAAGCCTGTATGACAGAAATACCTAAATGTAAACTCTCCCAAACTTCTCCATGTAGACAACTGCTTGTCATGACTATCTGGAGAGTTAAAAGTTGACTGCAAGAAGCTGTTAATTTATTGTTGCATGTATGAAGAATATCTAGCAATGTTAATTAGGTTTATGATCCATTGGAGTATGTTATTGCACCACATTCCAGGGTTTCAATCAAGTTGGCTTATTTTCAGCATTTGTATAAGATCAACCAGTTTTTATTATATTGTTCTTGTTAACATTTTATACATATTTCATGATTATTTTCAATATTCTGTACTTTGTTATACTATTCTTGTTATTATTATTTTTTATTTTTTTTTTATTTATTTTTTTTTTGCTTTCAACTAGTGCCATTTTTTCACATTTTTAATGAGTAACTGAAGTGTACGCAATAAAGCTACTACAGTACTTGATGAGTGTGTTGTGTTTCCAGTAACAGTGATCATTTTATACCGTGGTCCTCTCATGATTCTTATACCAATTTTAAGAATATGCACTGCATATAATACAATGCAATCAAAATATTTAAGACCACAATACAGTATAATGGAACCCTTCAAAATACAGAAAGATTTTTGCTTCTGGAAAAAATATTTTTGAAAGTTCTGGAGTGATTACAGAATTTTCCAGTATGTGGACCAATTTGCCTTTGTTTATATTTTGATGATTGTACTTTTATAAATAATTTAAATATTCTTTCTGCTGCAAAGATAGAGCTTGTGATCTTCACTTTTGAGCTGACCACATAGCTCCTTGCACTACAGGACCTTTTTTTTTTTTTTGTAATTACCTAAGTGTAGTTACAGGATGAGAGCTATGCTCCTAGTGTCCCATCTTTCCACCACTCTGTCATGTAACACTTTGAAATTACTGACGGTTTTGGCCTCCACCACCTCAAAATTAATTATCAGGAGAATGCACTAAGCCAATACAACTATGTAGCACTTGCAAGGATATGATAACAAGATCTTGGTTAGGAGTGAGGAAAGGAATGGTGCCCATCTACTTGGACAATCGTGGATTGAACGTCGTCCTGCAAGAAGTGAGGCCGTCGCTCTACCGTCCAGCCCAAGTGGTTGAGTTATGTAAGACTTTCCATGTGGACTCGACCTGCAGACTGTGAGGCCGCGGAGGACGCTCCCTTGCCTGGGCTACTGCTACTCCTATTGATGAATGCATCTTTGGGGTCGAACGCTGGATGGAATGGACTTGGTCTGAGGATGGGTTGAAATGTTCGTTTATCCAGCTATTGTGTTAGTGTGTGTGTGTGTGTACTTGCCTAATTGTACTCGCCTAGTGGTGCTTGCGAAGTTTGAGCTTCGGCTCTTTGGTCCCGCCTCTCAACTGTCAATCTACTGGTGTACAGGTTCCTGAACTTATTGAGCTCTATCATATCTACAATTGAAACTGTGTATGGAGTCAGCCTCCACCACATCACTTTCTAATGCATTCCATTTATTACTACTCTTGACACTTAAAAAGTTCTTTCTAATGTCTCTGTGGCTCATTTGGATACTCTACTTCCACCTGTGTCCCTTTGTGTGAATACTACTAGTGCTAAATTGTTTATCTGTATCTACCCTGTCAGTTCCCTTGAAAATTTTGTATGTGGTGATTGTCTGCCTGAGCTCTTCTGTATTCCAGTGATGTGAGGTGCATTTCACACAGCCTTTCCTCATAACTCATGCCTCTTAGTTCTGGAACTAGTCTAGTGGCATAGTTCTGAACTTTCTCCAGCTTCATCTTGTGCTTGACAAGGTATGGACTCGGTGCTGGGGCTGTATACTCCAGGATTGGTCTTACATATGTAGTATACAAGCTTCTAAATGATTCCTTACACAAGTTTAAAGGCAGTTATGATGTTAGCCAGCCTTTCATACACCGCTGATGATGTTTTGATGTGGACTTCAGTAGACAGGTTCGGTGTGATATCAACTAGATATTTCTCATGATCTGTTTCATGAAGGTCTTTGACTCCCATTTGGTATCCTGTGTCTGATTTCCTATTCCCTCAAACTAGTTTCATTACCTTACATTTACATGGGTTGAACTTTAGTAGCCATTTGTTGGACACATTCCTTCAGTTTGTGGAGTGAGTGAGTTGTATGCTGCATACAACAGATCATGAACAATTTCTGCAGTATTTCACCATCTATATATTAAAAGCAATATATATATATATATATATATATATATATATATATATATATATATATATATATATAAAGCAAGTTAAAAGCATAGCATAGCATAAGATAAGGTTGGGAGCCGGTGGCTGAGTGGACAGAACACTGTACGCGTGATCCTGTGGTCCCGGGTTCGAACGCCGGAGAGAAACAATGGGCAGAGTTTCTTTCACCCTGATGTTCCTGTTACCTAGCAGTAAATAGGTACCTGGGAGTTAGTCAGCTGAAACGGGCTCCTTCCTGGGATTGGAGGCCTGGTCGAGGACCGGGCCGCGGGGACACTAAGCCCCAAAATCACCTCTAGATCTCAAGAAGGCTCCTTGCAGAACGTTGTTTGTGTTGTCCTTGGGTAACATACCCATCTTCAACTACCCCTAGATCTCTATCAGAATTCTTTAAAGGTTTTTCACATATTGTAATTTGTAGGGTGTGTGTGGCCTATTTTGTCCTATTCCATATTCCATAAAATGACATCTATTCACATTAAATTCCATTTGCCAAGTATTGCTCCATACACTTATTTTGCTCAGGTCTTTGTGAACAGCACGTAATTACCTAAGTGTGAATGTATTTATTTATGTACAGTATATATCAAATTGCAGTCAGCAGTTTTTGTGAGTTTGATCTGAGAATGTCTGGTAGTCTTGTTTGACACTTCTTAAAGGTGATATAATAAAACATGCATAGCTACTCATTCCCAGTGCTGCAGGTACGAAAAACCGGCTTAAAATGTTATCTGGTTATCGGCCAATGCACACACAGTTACAGATAAGAGCAGCAGCTGCCTACTTTATCTCGACTAACCCTCCAGTAATATCAAAATAGATTTTATAGATTAATAGTCTTGATCTTGGCCCGGACACGAAAGCATCACATTAACATTCAGGTAAGAGTGGTGCATGTCAGAAGAGGTTAGATGTCTGTGTCTCGGGGTAAACCCCTGTGTGGCCCATGGATGCCTGCGTCACAAGGGGAAGTATGGCAGCTCTCCTCTCAAGAAGGGTTATATGCTCGTGGCGGTGAGCATGTCAAGAGAATACATGCTTGTGGCAACGCATGTTAAAAGGGGGTTTATGCTCGTGGCAGCGTGTCAAGAGGGGTCAGATGCTCGTGGCAGCACGAGTGTCAAGAGGGGTGAGGTACTCGTGGTAGCGTGTCAAGAGGGTGAGGTGCTCGTGGCAGCACGAGTGTCAAGAGGGGTGAGGTGCTCGTGGCAGCGTGTCAAGAGGGCTCAGATGCTCGTGGCAACGTGTCAAGAGGGCTCAGATGCTCGTGGCAACACGAGTGTCAAGAGGGGTGAGGTGCTCGTGGCAGCACGAGTGTCAAGAGGGGTGAGGTGCTCGTGGCAGTGTCAAGAGGGGTGAGGTGCTCGTGGCAGTGTCAAGAGGGGTGAGGTGCTCGTGGCAGCGCGAGTGTCAAGAGGGGTGAGGTGCTCGTGGCAGCGTGTCAAGAGGGTGAGGTGCTCGTGGCAGCACGAGTGTCAAGAGGGGTGAGGTGCTCGTGGCAGCGTGTCAAGAGGGTGAGGTGCTCGTGGCAGCACGAGTGTCAAGAGGGGTGAGGTGCTCGTGGCAGCGTGTCAAGAGGGGTGAGGTGCTCGTGGCAGCGCGAGTGTCAAGAGGGGTGAGGTGCTCGTGGCAGCGCGCGTGAGGGGTCAATACCACCACGCAGGCCGACCCTCGCTTCCGACGTCACTCTCCGTGACGTCATGACCCGTGACGTAGTTGCCAAAACACACCGTCGCGCGGGAAAACGAACACTCCGAAGAATCAATAATTTCAAGTGGATTGTGGATTCCAAAAATGTCTAAAATGCCGCCGGCGGACGTGTGAATTAGTGGCGGGTGTGAAAACTTGAGTTATAAGCCGAGAAAAGATGTAACGCGAGGCAGAGGGAGGTAAATGTGAGGAGTGTGTTGGGAAGCTGTGCTGTGGCTGCTAGCTCGACCGTCGTGTTTACAAGTTGCTCAGTGTCCCCTGCTTCACCTTCCTTCACATTTGATGATGCTGAAGGCAAGTTGACCACTATGGCGGCCAAGCGCCGCTCTTGCGCGCAGTCAAATAAAGCCATAAACTTGGACACACTGGAAAATGGGTTGTTTATGGTGGGAACTCAAACAGGAGGTGGCAGAGGCGACCGGATACGCCAGGATGTCTGCCACAGGAACCCTCCCCCATCCCCCCTATGGTCACTGTGGCCTGTCTCCCCCTCCTATGGGTACTGTGGCCTGCCCACCCCTCCCATGGGTACTGTGGCCAGCCCACCCCTCCCATGGGTACTGTGGCCTGCCCCCTCCCATAGGTACTGTGGCCTGCCCACCCCCTCCCATGGGTACTGTGGCCTGCCCACCCCTCCCATGGGTACTGTGGCCTGCCAACCCCTCCCATGGGTACTGTGGCCTGCTCCCATGATCACTGGCCTGCCCCCTCCCAAAGGTTACCTTACCTTGCCTAGGAAGGTACTGTGACCTCCCTCTTATGGTCACTTTGGCCTGCACCCTCCCATGGGTACTGTGGCCTGCCCCCTCCCATAGGTACTGTGGCCTGCCCACCCCCTCCCATGGGTATTGTGGCCTGCCCACCCCCTCCCATGGGTATTGTGGCCTGCCCACCCCTCCCATGGGTACTGTGGCCTGCCCCCTCCCATAGGTACTGTGGCCTGCCCACCCCCTCCCATGGGTACTGTGGCCTGCCCACCCCTCCCATGGGTACTGTGGCCTGCCAACCCCTCCCATGGGTATTGTGGCCTGCCCACCCCCTCCCATGGGTACTGTGGCCTGCCCCCTCCCATAGGTACTGTGGCCTGCCCACCCCCTCCCATGGGTATTGTGGCCTGCCCACCCCCTCCCATGGGTATTGTGGCCTGCCCACCCCCTCCCATGGGTATTGTGGCCTGCCCACCCCTCCCATGGGTACTGTGGCCTGCCCACCCCTCCCATGGGTATTGTGGCCTGCCCACCCCTCCCATGGGTACTGTGGCCTGCCCACCCCTCCCATGGGTACTGTGGCCTGCCAACCCCTCCCATGGGTATTGTGGCCTGCCCACCTCTCCCATGGGTACTGTGGCCTGCCCACCCCTCCCATGGGTACTGTGGCCTGCCCACCCCTCCCATGGGTACTGTGGCCTGCCCACCCCTCCCATGGGTACTGTGGCCTGCCCACCCCTCCCATGGGTACTGTGGCCTGCCCACCCCTCCCATGGGTACTGTGGCCTGCCCACCCCTCCCATGGGCACTGTGGCCTGCCCACCCCTCCCATGGGTACTGTGGCCTGCCCACCCCTCCCATGGGTACTGTGGCCTGCCCACCCCTCCCATGGGTACTGTGGCCTGCCCACCCCTCCCATGGGTACTGTGGCCTGCTCCCTCCCATGGGTACTGTGGCCTGCCCCCTCCCATGGGTACTGTGGCCTGCCCCCTCCAATGGGTACTGTGGCCTGCCCACCCCTCCCATGGGTATTGTGGCCTGCCCACCTCTCCCATGGGTACTGTGGCCTGCCCACCCCTCCCATGGGTACTGTGGCCTGCCCATCCCTCCCATGAGTACTGTGGCCTGCTCCCTCCCTTGATCACTGGCCTGTCCCCTCCCATAGGTACTGTGGCCTGCCCCCTCCCATGGGTACTGTGGCCTGCCCCCTCCCATGGGTACTGTGGCCTGCCCCCTCCCATGGGTACTGTGGCCTGCCCCCTCCGATGGGTACTGTGGCCTGCTCCCTCCCATGATCACTGGCCTGCCCCCTCCCATAGGTACTGTGGCCTGCTCCCTCCCATAGGTACTGTGGCCTGCCCCCTCCCATGGGTACTGTGGCCTGCCCCCTCCCATAGGTACTGTGGCCTGCCCCCTCCCATAGGTACTGTGGCCTGCTCCCTCCCATGATCACTGGCCTGCCCCCTCCCATAGGTACTATGGCCTGCCCCCTCCCATGGGTACTGTGGCCTGCCCCCTCCCATAGGTACTGTGACCTGCCCACCCCTCCAATGGGTACTGTGGCCTGCTCCCTCCCATAATCACTGGCCTGCCCCCTCCCATGGGAACTGTGGCCTGTCCCCTCCCATGGGTACTGTGACCTGCCCACCCCTCCCATGGGTACTGTGGCCTGCTCCCATGATCACTGGCCTTCCCCCTCCCATAGGTACTGTGACCTTCTCCCTCTTATGGTCACTGTGGCCTGCACCTTCCTATGGGTACTGTGGCCTGCCCCCTCCCATGGGTACTGTAACCTGCCTCCTCCCATGGGTACTGTGGCCTGCACCATGCCAGGGGTACTGTGACCTACCCCCCTCCCATGAGTACTGTTGCCTGCCCCCTCCCATGAGAACCGTGGCCTGCCCCCTCCCATGGTCACTGGGGCCTGCCCCCTCCCATGGGAACTGTGGCCTGCCCCCTCCCATGGTCACTGGGGCCTGCCCCCTCCCATGATCACTGGGGCCTGCCCCCTCCCATGGGAACTGGGGCCTGCCCCCTCCCATGGGAACTGTGGCCTGCCCCCTCCTATGGGAACTGTGGTCTCCACCCTCCCATGGTCACTGTGGTCTCCACCCTCCCATGGTCACTGTGGTCTGCACCCTCCCATGATCACTGTGGTCTCCACCCTCCCATGGTCACTGGTCTCCACCCTCCCATGGTCACTGTGGTCTGCACCCTCCCATGGTCACTGTGATCTGTGCCCTCCCATGGTCACTGTGATCTGCACCCTCCCATGGTCACTGTGGTCTCCACCCTCCCGTGGTCACTGTGTTCTCGACCCTCCCATGGTCACTGTGGTCTGCACCCTCCCATGGTCACTGTGTTCTCCACCCTCCCATGGTCACTGTGTTCTCCACCCTCCCATGGTCACTGTGGTCTGCACCCTCCCATGGTCACTATGTTCTCCACCCTCCTGTGGTCTCCACCCTCCCGTGGTCACTGTGTTCTCCACCCTCCCGTGGTCACTGTGTTCTCCACCCTCCAATGGTCACTGTGTTCTCCACCCTCCCATGGTCACTGTGGTCTGCTCCCTCCCATGGTCACTGTGTTCTCTACCCTCCCATGGTCACTGTGGTCTGCACCCTCCCATGGTCACTGTGTTCTCTACCCTCCCATGGTCACTGGTATGCACCCTCCCATGGTCACTGTGGTCTGCTCCCTCCCATGGTCACTGTGGTCTGCACCCTCCCATGGTCACTGTGGTCTGCACCCTCCCATGGTCACTGTGTTCTCCACCCTCCCGTGGTCACTATGTTCTCCACCCTCCCATGGTCACTGTGTTCTCCACCCTCCCATGGTCACTGTGGTCTGCACCCTCCCATGGTCACTGTGGTCTGCACCCTCCCATGGTCACTGTGGTCTGCACCCTCCCATGGTCACTGTGGTCTGCACCCTCCCATGGTCACTGTTGTCTGCACCCTCGCATGGTCACTGTGTTCTCCACCCTCCCATGGTCACTGTGTTCATCCTCCCATGGTCACTGTGTTCTCCACCCTCCAATGGTCACTGTGTTCTCCACCCTCCCATGGTCACTGTGTTCTCCACCCTCCCATGGTCACTGTGGTCTCCACCCTCCCATGGTCACTGTGGTCTCCACCCTCCCATGGTCACTGTGTTCTCCACCCTCCCATGGTCACTGTGGTCTGCACCCTCCCATGGTCACTGTGGTCTGCACCCTCCCATGGTCACTGTGTTCTCCACCCTCCCGTGGTCACTATGTTCTCCACCCTCCCATGGTCACTGTGTTCTCCACCCTCCCATGGTCACTGTGGTCTGCACCCTCCCATGGTCACTGTGGTCTGCACCCTCCCATGGTCACTGTGGTCTGCACCCTCCCATGGTCACTGTGGTCTGCACCCTCCCATGGTCACTGTTGTCTGCACCCTCGCATGGTCACTGTGTTCTCCACCCTCCCATGGTCACTGTGTTCATCCTCCCATGGTCACTGTGTTCTCCACCCTCCAATGGTCACTGTGTTCTCCACCCTCCCATGGTCACTGTGTTCTCCACCCTCCCATGGTCACTGTGGTCTCCACCCTCCCATGGTCACTGTGGTCTCCACCCTCCCATGGTCACTGTGTTCTCCACCCTCCCATGGTCACTGTGGTCTGCACCCTCCCATGGTCACTGTGGTCTGCACCCTCCCATGGTCACTGTGGTCTGCACCCTCCCATGGTCACTGTGGTCTGCTTCCTCCCATGGTCACTGTAGTCTGCACCCTCCCATGGTCACTGTGGTCTGCTTCCTCCCATGGTCACTGTAGTCTCCACCCTCCCATGGTCACTGTGGTCTCCACCCTCCCATGGTCACTGTGGTCTCCCCCCTCCCATGGTCACTGTGTTCTCCCCCCTCCCATGGTCACTGTGTTCTCCACCCTCCCATGGTCACTGTGTTCTCCACCCTCCCATGGTCACTGTGTTCTCCACCCTCCCATGGTCACTGTTCTCCACCCTCCCATGGTCACTGTGGTCTGCACCCTCCCATGGTCACTGTAGTCTGCACTCTCCCATGGTCACTGTGGTCTGCTCCCTCCCATGGTCACTGTGGTCTGCTCCCTCCCATGGTCACTGTGGTCTGCTCCCTTCCATGGTCACTGTGGTCTGCTCCCTCCCATGGTCACTGTGTTTTCCACCCTCCCATGGTCACTGTGTTCTCCACCCTCCCATGGTCACTGTGTTCTCCACCCTCCCATGGTCACTGTGTTCTCCACCCTCCCATGGTCACTGTGTTCTCCACCCTCCCATGGTCACTGTGTTCTCCACCCTCCCATGGTCACTGTGGTCTCCACCCTCCCATGGTCACTGTGGTCTCCAATCTCCCATGGTCACTGTGTTCTCCACCCTCCCATGGTCACTGTAGTCTGCTCCCTCCCATGGTCACTGTGGTCTGCTCCCTCCCATTGTCACTGTGTTCTTCACCCTCCCATGGTCACTGGTCTGCTCCCTCCTATGGTCACTGTGTTCTCCACCCTCCCATGGTCACTGTGGTCTGCACCCTCCCATGGTCACTGTGGTCTGCACCCTCCCATGGTCACTGTGGTCTGCACCCTCCCATGGTCACTGTGGTCTCCACCCTCCCATGGTCACTGTGTTCTCCACCTTCCCATGGTCACTGTGTTCTCCACCCTCCCATGGTTACTGTGTTCTCCACCCTCCCATGGTTACTGTGTTCTCCACCCTCCCATGGTCACTGTGGTCTCCACTCTCCCATGGTCACTGTGGTCTCCACTCTCCCATGGTCACTGTGTTATCCACCCTCCCATGGTCACTGTGTTCTCCACCCTCCCATGGTCACTGTGTTCTCCACCCTCCCATGGTCACTGTGTTCTCCACCCTCCCATGGTCACTGTGGTCTGCACCCTCCCATGGTCACTGTGGTCTGCACCCTCCCATGGTCACTGTGGTCTGCTCCCTTCCATGGTCACTGTAGTCTGCTCCCTCCCATGGTCACTGTGGTCTGCTCCCTCCCATGGTCACTGTGGTCTGCTCCCTCCCATGGTCACTGTGGTCTGCTCCCTCCCATGGTCACTGTGGTCTGCTCCCTCCCATGGTCACTGTGGTCTGCTCCCTCCCATGGTCACTGTTCTCCACCCTCCCATGGTCACTGTGGTCTGCACCCTCCCATGGTCACTGTAGTCTGCACCCTCTCATGGTCACTGTGGTCTGCTCCCTCCCATGGTCACTGTAGTTTGCTCCTTCCCATGGTCACTGTAGTCTGCTCCCTCTCATGGTCACTGTAGTCTGCACCCTCCCATAGTCACTGTGGTCTCCACCCCTCCCATGGTCACCATAGTCTGCTCCCTCCCATGGTCACCATAGTCTGCACCCTCCCATGGTCACTGTGGTCTGCTCCCTCCCATGGTCACTGTAGTTTGCTCCCTCCCATGGTCATCGTAGTCTGCACCCTCCCATAGTCACTGTGGTCTCCACCCCTCCCATGGTCACCATAGTCTGCTCCCTCCCATGGTCACCATAGTCTGCACCCTCCCATGGTCACTGTGGTCTGCTCCCTCCCATGGTCAAGGTGGTCTGCTTGTTTGTGATATAAATTGCTATCCACACTTCCGTGGAAATAAACATTCCATTCACCTGGACTGTTTGGGTCTCAAACCGTGGACACCACACGTGTGAGGCCGTAGCCCTATAATAATATTTTATTCAGGAAAAGTACATACAATACCTAAAGCCACTAATACGCATAGCATTTCGGGCTATCAACTGGGCTATGAGTAGTCTTAATAAGGAAAGTTTCCTCAAGCAGCATCCTGCTGCCACAAGTGGAATTTTCAACTTTCTCTGATTACTATTACTGAAGCCCAGAAAAATTACTGACCCATGTCCATGTCATATTTATGTGTCATATTTGTCATTTGCTTTACATATAACTATCTATTTTGTTCATAAGGGTGCACAAAAATATAGATAGTTATATGTAAAGTATGTATGTAGTGCAATAACCACCCCTCCTCCCCCCCTCCATGGGTACTTTGGGCTTCTCCCTCCCATGGGCACTGTGGCCTGCTCCAAATTACCTAGCATAACTGTGGCTAACTTGACAATCACTTGTGGCATATGCTTAGACTTACAGGCTTAGATTCCTGAAATATATTTTATATTTCAATTTCATCCTGTTTGAGTACACTGCCTAACTATTATGTAATGTATGATGGTCCATCAAGAAAGGACAAAGAGTTGTTAATGTACAACATCTTGTAATTGTGACAAGTTGATATCTGTGACATGTGCATAATGTGTTTCCAATTTAAAGATGATCATGGGTGCCAACAGATATAGCAAATGATTAATAACATTTTTGTTCATCTTGTTCATAAAATGTTCACCTAAGAACTAAGGCAATACTGAGGGAACAGTATGAAAAAATTGTAATTTCAGAAATTTCCTCATTTTTTTTAATAATTTTTTTTTTTTTTTTTTTTGAGATATATACAAGAGTTGTTAAATTCTTGTACAGCCACTAGTACGCGTAGTGTTTCGGACAGGTCCCTGGAATACGATCCCCGCCGCGAAGAATTGTTTTTACAACCAATTTTACTGTTGAGTTAAACAGAGGCTACAGTTAAGGATTTGCGCCCAGTAAATCCTCCCCGGCCAGGATACGAACCCATGACAAAGTGCTCGCGGAACACCAGGCGAGTGTCTTACCACTACACCATGGAGACTCATTTTGATCTTGTAACTGTAATGAGCATGTCCTAAAAGTACCTCTGGGGAGACTTTAAAGGAAATTGAAATCTCCTTTAAAATTTCAACTTCAAATTTAAAATTAAAATTTGAAATAAAAAGTGTGCGTGTGTAGTATTTTGAGAGGCATTTTGTTGTGTCAGGTGCCATCAGCAACTATGGAGCTATGTCCTGCTTGGATTATAAGATTACCACATACACCAGAATTGCTTAGTGGCTTGTTATACTGCATAAAATTGTAGTTATATATAATGTGTATATGTATACTGTGTAATAACAGCAAAAGCTGTTTGTTTTAATATTCACAGAATATGACATTGAGCATATATTAGTGACACAAACATATGTGTCTACAATTTGTGATATAAATAACATTATTGACAGCCCAGTGCATCTTTGCACTTGATAAAACTAGTAAAAGCATTTAAAATTCGAAGATAATATAATGTATTCAGTGCATGCAGTTCAACTTCATGCAAAATATGTGGGGGCTAGGCTGAATTCTGGTAACTGGTTACAATAATATTACACTCGCCAGAACTGCTTCGTGGTTCATAATTGAGCATGAATATGTAGATACTGTAATTATATATAAAGTGTGTATATAGTGTAATAACAGCAAAGATGTTGTTTTATTCTTCTAAAAATATAATTTGGTGCTCATATTAGTGACACTAATATTTTTTAACATTCCGATGTTCCACACATTTTATTATAAATGCTGTACTGTATTTCACAAATGACACTACTACAAAAAATCATAAAAAGAAATCAGAGATATTTAAATAAATACTGTATGTAAATATATCATTGCAACAACTCCCATCCCACACCTAGTCCTGTGTGACCACCACAGGGCAATGGCTCCATGAACACTTGTGAATTGTGATGCCATCCTGAGATTTCCTTGCTTCATAACTGCCAAAGTAAGCTGCATAAAAAAAAATGTCCATGATGGGAATTGCATTTTAATAATATTAGAAGGACAAACAAATTTGGGAATTTTTTCCTTGTGCACCTGGAGGTTCTCAGCTATAAACGGGGGCACAGTGCAGGGGGTTAACTCTGAGACCTGGTACAACCAGAAGCTGTTGAGGGCTGACCAGGAAGTGGCATTTCATTACATTCAGTGCTTGATTTATTGTTAAATTTGTTCTTTCTTTTAATTACAAGGCTGGTCAGTATGTAACTTAAGATTTGACCTTTAATTTTTCAGCCTGATGGGTGATCACAATGGTGAGGCCGGTTAACTCCAAACGCAAGCTTTTCAGCGCTAGCAAAGAACAGAAGGAGAATGAACCAGGTACTCGGGCATTTTTAATTTTTTTATATACCGTAGTGCATTGGCTTATTATACTGTAATTTAAAATATTTATGCTGTATTAGTATCATTCTTATTATTAAATGGCACTTGTTACTCTGTACAGAGATAAATGAGTCCCAGACTGATAAATAAATCCCCTGAATGGAGATAAATGAGTCTCCAACCACTTACTTTTCCCTTTCTAATAAAAAGTATTTTCTGTATTTTATACGAAACAGTTCATCTTCAGAAATGAGGAATATTCTTTAATTAATTTAACTTACCTATATAACTCATTTAGGTTATATGTAATGCTATGAAACCTACATTGTCAATTTCTTGGGGAATGCCCCCTTCCTAGTAGCTCCATGAAGCTATCTAGCTGAGATTGTTCTATGCTAAAAGATCACATCAGTTGCAGAAGTTGTGATTGGCCTACTGAGGACCAGAGCCAGAGCCTGGCCTCCCCCTCATGAGACACAAGGAACAAATTGGCAATTTGCCACTTCAATGGGAAAGAATCCAGAAAATTGGTGTAGGTTTACAGATACAGTAATTGAAAGGTTCACAAAAAACAAGCCTCAAAAACCACCAATCGATTCACACACGGCCCTTGTGGATTTATTCATTTGATATATCACGCTATTGCGATTTCTGTGTGTATTGAAATAAGGGAGAAGAGGTAGAACATTTGGTTGACAGAGCCCGGGTACATGGGGGAATTGTGTAAAACCCCGGTTTGTGCTTCTGAGAAGCTGCGGGAGCTTCGAGAGGGCAAGTAGCACCACAGGTTCCAATTCTTTTAACCATATCGGGCGACTAAGGCACGTCTGGGATCATCCCGGACGTAGGTTTGAACCCTCATCATGGCCCGTGTGGATTTGTTTATTTGATATATCACGCTATTGTGATTTCTGTGTGTACACAATACACTTAACTACCTCTAACTATACAACCACCCCAAACATCATTGTTTCTACCCACACTACACTGACACCTCCACCCCACCCACATCTCCACCTGCCACAATTATGCCAGGGCAATTAAGTGGAAACCCTACCCACTCTTCTACCAACCATTCACCCAACTCGACCACTACAGGTGGAGTTGGGTGTTACATTTTCTTACTCTATGTCCAATATTTTGATATTTTGACAAGTGTACAGAGGAATACGGGGGGGCATTTTTTTATATTCATAATATTCTTGGATATACCTGGCATAGGGACCAGGGACACCTTGGTCATTTGCAATTTGAATATAAATTATTTTATATTTATTTTTTGTATTGCCAGCTGATGGTGAATTAAGAAGTAAAAGCCACACTGAAATCTTAGGCTTGACTGACACCTCCAACAGCATCAATATTGGTACCCATAAAAAGATCACGAAGAGTACTAGCAGTGTTGGAGGGTGCAATAGTGTTGGTGTTGGGAAAACAATGGTGGGGTGGGCGGAAGATGTCTCCGCAGCTCACCGTACTCCCAGCCGGCCAGTCATGCCAATGTCTGAGAGGCAACAGATTGCACTTCTTATGCAGATGTCCTCACCTTCCCCTCCAGGTGGGTTAAACTAAAAAAAAATTGTGTTATATTTTACCATTTTGCAATAAGCGGAAGAAGAGATTAATTCTATCCGAAACATTAGGATTAAGGCCCGAAATGCAATGCTTGCTAGTGGCTTTATAAGAATGTAAGAACTCTTGTATATATCAGTAAATAAATGCAGATTTGGTCAGTGTATTTTTCTTCTTCCAGACAAAGCAGAGCTGAGCAATTCCAACAGCCCACGCACCCCAAACACTCCAAATTTTGGACGAGGTGTTAACAAGCGTAATGAACGTGGTGAAACTCCTTTGCACGTGGCTGCCATTAAAGGAGATACTGAACGCATATCCCAGCTTATATCTCAGGGTGCAGATGTAAATGCCACCGATTATGCTGGTAAGTGAAGATTGGAAGTTATTTCATAAACCATATCTTCATTCACACACAAATTTAACTATTTTCATGAATTTCAGTTTGCTTAGGAAATGTAGGAATTTGCCTTTTACACAATTTTAATACCTTTTTTATGATAATTAGGTATATTGTACATTACTCTAACTGGCTGATGAACATGTGGGAACTGTATGTGGATTAGTTTACATAGTATCAAAGTACGGTACAGGAATAGGCAAAGGTGCAAATTGAGAGAACAGTATATACTGTGTAGATAACGATGTACAATGTGAGTGGAACATGATGGGCTTAGGAAGGTGCACAGTTATATAGATCAGATTTTTACTGTGAGAGTGGGCAATGAATAGTTTCTTGCAGAAGGTAGAAATTTGCATGCTGCCTTTATATATTTAGAAAAAATTGTATGATTGTGAAGCATTTTGGTGGATTTTAAAGTGCTATGGAGCAGGAGGAATTTTATTTGAAGCAGTACAATAAAATCCCTGCATGGTATGTACAGTTTATAATTAGCAGAGCATGCATGAGAGTAGGAGACAAAAATAGCAGATGATATTAATGTTGGGTATAAGACAGGCTTGTGTAATATCACCTGGGTTCTTTAATATATATTTAGATGGGCCCCCTACGTTGTGTGTTCTTGGTCCCCTGGTTGTGTGTTCTTGGTCCCCTGGTTGTGTGTCCTTGGTCCCCTGGTTGTGTATTCTTGGTCCCCTGGTTGTGTGTTCTTGGTCCCCTGGTTGTGTGTTCTTGGTCCCCTGGTTGTGTGTCCTTGGTCCCCTGGTTGTGTGTTCTTGGTCCCCTGGTTGTGTATTCTTGGTCCCCTGGTTGTGTGTTCTTGGTCCCCTGGTTGTGTATTCTTGGTCCCCTGGTTGTGTGTTCTTGGTCCCCTGGTTGTGTGTTCTTGGTCCCCTGGTTGTGTGTTCTTGGTCCCCTGGTTGTGTATTCTTGGTCCCCTGGTTGTGTGTTCTTGGTCCCCTGGTTGTGTGTCCTTGGTCCCCTGGTTGTGTGTCCTTGGTCCCCTGGTTGTGTGTTCTTGGTCCCCTGGTTGTGTGTCCTTGGTCCCCTGGTTGTGTGTCCTTGGTCCCCTGGTTGTGTGTCCTTGGTCCCCTGGTTGTGTATTCTTGGTCCCCTGGTTGTGTGTTCTTGGTCCCCTGGTTGTGTGTCCTTGGTCCCCTGGTTGTGTGTTCTTGGTCCCCTGGTTGTGTGTTCTTGGTCCCCTGGTTGTGTGTCCTTGGTCCCCTGGTTGTGTGTTCTTGGTCCCCTGGTTGTGTATTCTTGGTCCCCTGGTTGTGTGTTCTTGGTCCCCTGGTTGTGTGTCCTTGGTCCCCTGGTTGTGTGTCCTTGGTCCCCTGGTTGTGTGTTCTTGGTCCCCTGGTTGTGTGTTCTTGGTCCCCTGGTTGTGTGTTCTTGGTCCCCTGGTTGTGTGTCCTTGGTCCCCTGGTTGTGTGTCCTTGGTCCCCTGGTTGTGTGTTCTTGGTCCCCTGGTTGTGTGTCCTTGGTCCCCTGGTTGTGTGTTCTTGGTCCCCTGGTTGTGTGTCCTTGGTCCCCTGGTTGTGTATTCTTGGTCCCCTGGTTGTGTGTTCTTGGTCCCCTGGTTGTGTGTCCTTGGTCCCCTGGTTGTGTGTCCTTGGTCCCCTGGTTGTGTATTCTTGGTCCCCTGGTTGTGTGTCCTTGGTCCCCTGGTTGTGTGTTCTTGGTCCCCTGGTTGTGTGTTCTTGGTCCCCTGGTTGTGTGTCCTTGGTCCCCTGGTTGTGTATTCTTGGTCCCCTGGTTGTGTGTTCTTGGTCCCCTGGTTGTGTGTTCTTGGTCCCCTGGTTGTGTGTTCTTGGTCCCCTGGTTGTGTGTCCTTGGTCCCCTGGTTGTGTGTTCTTGGTCCCCTGGTTGTGTGTTCTTGGTCCCCTGGTTGTGTGTCCTTGGTCCCCTGGTTGTGTATTCTTGGTCCCCTGGTTGTGTGTTCTTGGTTCCCTGGTTGTGTGTTCTTGGTCCCCTGGTTGTGTGTTCTTGGTCCCCTGGTTGTGTGTCCTTGGTCCCCTGGTTGTGTGTTCTTGGTCCCATGGTTGTGTGTTCTTGGTCCCCTGGTTGTGTGTTCTTGGTCCCCCTGGTTGTGTGTCCTTGGTCCTCTGGTTGTGTGTTCTTGGTCCCCTGGTTGTGTGTCCTTGGTCCCCTGGTTGTGTGCCCTGGGTCCCCCTGGTTGTGTGCCCTGGGTCCCCCTGGTTGTGTGCCTTGGGTCCCCCTGGTTGTGTGCCCTGGGTCCCCCTGGTTGTGTGCCTTGGGTCCCCCTGGTTGTGTGCCCTGGGTCCCCCTGGTTGTGTGCCCTGGGTCCCCCTGGTTGTGTGCCCTGGGTCCCCCTGGTTGTGTGCCCTGGGTCCCCCTGGTTGTGTGCCCTGGGTCCCCCTGGTTGTGTGCCCTGGGTCCCCCTGGTTGTGTGCCCTGGGTCCCCCTGGCTGTGTGCCTTGGGTCCCCTGGTTGTGTGCCCTGGGTCCCCCTGGTTGTGTGCCCTGGGTCCCCCTGGTTGTGTGCCCTGGGTGGTTGTGTGCCCTGAGTCCCAGAGTTGCGTGCCATGGGTCCCCTAGTTGTGTGTCTTGGGTCCCATAGTTGCGTGTCCTGGGTCCCATAGTTGCGTGTCCTGGGTCCCATAGTTGCGTGTCCTGGGTCCCCCTAGTTGTTTGTCCAGGGTCCTCTAGTTCTCCCCTCTCCTCATTAAATGAACCAGATCCTGGTATCCAGTAGGCCTGCAATGGTCGCAGAAGCCTGGTATACCTCAATGACTTGGTGGTAACAATAAATAAGCTACAAGACACTGATGAGGGAGCCAACCAGAATGGGATGTGTAATTACTTTTAACGTATGTCTTTTTTTTTTTTTTTTTTAACTTCCGACACATTGGCGAGAGACTACGTGTGTCGCCCTCATCTTGATCACCAGTATTTAAATTGAATCAATATACAGTAATAGATTTAGTTTTTATAATGATTAGGTATGGAAAAATAGTTTATTCATTTTAGTGCAGAGGTTCATTTGTAAACCATTGTGTTGGGGTCAGCAATACATAGCTTTCTTACATCACATTATCATCTGCTGCAGATGATGTGCAATATTTTTGGGTCCCTGTAAGATTTGTCATTGCACAAATGCTAATAGAACTTGCATTTGCAGATACTGTATTAATATTATATCGATAAAATAAAACAAAATATAGTTACTGTACTGTAATAAGATAATATAATTTTGTTTCATTTGCCTTTCCCTGAGAAGCTGTGTAATCAAATCACCCACTTCAGTGTGAGAGAGTTTAGGGTATTGTACTGGTAATTACTGTGTACAGGGCAGGTTAGTATTTACAGTATGATAGGTCATAATCCTTAACACAATACCAGGTTTAGATTATACAATTAATTATAAGCTCTTAATTGTGCCCAAGTGCCATATATGTGGTGTTATATTAATCATATAGGATAAAGTTGCTGGTCCCTGGACACTTAGGAAAGTTACTGATGCTCTCAGTTGACTAAAAATTTTTTTTTATATTGGTCAATATAGAATGAGGTGGTACCAACTCCCACTCTAGTTCCCAACTCCCACACATGTATGTATGTATGTTGTACCTAATAGCCAGAACTGCACTACTTAGTTCGAGGGGAAGTGAGGGGGAGGGAAAGACGTGTTGTCTGCGCTCCATTAAAATCACGAAATATACCTGTTTTTTTGGAGGGATACAACCATGGATTACTTACACACACACACACACCCTGTGACACCCCTAGGGTCAACACTTGAAGCAGAGGAGCTCCAGCATATTTCAACAATCCTAAGTATTGTAGTACAGGTTGATGGTAGTGAGTGGTGTTCCAGAGAACATAAAGGTATAGTGCTCTTGAAAAATAGGTGAGATAACAGGAAAGTGCTAAGGGAAGTGAAAAATTGGATGAGAAAAAGTTGCCCTAGTGTTTACAGTGCAGAGAAGAACATTCAAGATGGCCACTGGCAAGGGGAAAAACAAAACAGAGCTTGATTTTGAGGGATTCAATGAAGAAAGCATTGATATTAGCAGTCTACATAACAAGTTGGTAAATTTAGATACTATAGTGAACTCTCATGTAGAAATAATTAGTAAATTGAAAGAAAGTAATGACCATTTGAATAGCAAAGTTTTATGTCTTGAGGGTTTAGTGAAAGACTTGCGCAAGGATAAGAATCAATTGGAAACAAATTGCAAAGCCATGGAAGAAGAAAATAAACTCTTAAAAATAGCTTTGGAAGAAGTTAAAGTAAATTTAAACATAAATGACTACAATAGGTTAGGCAAGGAAATTCAACAGGAGAAACAGCTTTTGTCAGCACAGATGGAGGAAGTTACACAGGGAATAGAACAGTGCAAGAAAGATATGCAACTCACTTATGCACAAGTGGCCAAGGAGAAGGAAAAAATAGAAGAAGCAGTAAAGGAAGTCAAACACTGCAGCAACCAAGATAAAACAAACATTAGGCTGGAAGTGAGAAAAGAATTGGCATCTAACCCGAAGTTGGTGCAAAACACAGTTGATCGGAGTAAGTCCCTGATCATTTTTGGCTGCAAAGAAAAGGCGACAACATCTAGGTCAGAAAGAGCTGTAGAAGAAGCTAAAGTAGTAGATAAAATTGTTGGCCTCGTGGAAGGTCTTACAACCATAGAGAATGTGTGCGACTACAGGAGAATAGGCAGGTACGTAAAAGGGAAAGATCGACCTTTGAGGATCACCCTAAACGGTGCCAAACAGATGGAAGAAGTACTAAGGAATGCTAGAAAATTGCAAAGTGATGAGGATGGGAAAGGGTGGTCGTTAAGACGAGATCTTTCAAAAGAAGATAGAGAGAAACTGAACCTCGCAGAGGCAAAACATTTAAATGAGAGCAGGAATGAAGAAGAAATAAATTCTTTTTTCTACAAAGTGATAGGGGTAGGCAAACCAGTAAAGTGGTACATAAAGGCAAACCAACAAAAT